TCTTTTGTCACCTTTTTTTCAAGTGTATCAATATTTTCTGGAGTCCTTAAAATAGAATTTCTTAGGAGTGGTTGTCTGGTCTTTGCGTGATTAATTGGATTTAATTTGTTCGAGGATTTTTGGTTCCATTGCTATCCATGTTATTCGTAACAGTAATTATCAGTACTACAGTTTGAATGTTTATGACACTTATAAAGGAATAGTTAAACAATAAATGGTTGTAGTTAGTGCTATAATTGACAAAATTCTTCTCAGTATTTGGGTTTAGTGTACTGGTTTCTTCTCAGTATTCCACTAAATCATGATACAGAGAATAAGTGGAAAATGAATTGGAACAGATTCTACTAATTTTTCTGTTTTCAATATAGAACTTTCATGTTATTGATCTTTATTTATAATGAGAATAAATCATTTGAATATTTAAATATTTTTAATTAAAATTCTGAAACATTATAGTAAGTTTATTAGTGCCATTGCCCATGCTGGTGTCAATGAACATCCATATCCAGTCAGGAAGAATGTGGCCTGCAACCCGAGATACGATGCAGCTCAGAACTTTAGGGACAGGCATTATTTCCTATTTTTAATAAAACTAAGCATCATATGTATGTCAATTGTTAACACAATATAGTAATAAAATGCAAATAAGTATTGATGGTCAAGAAAGAACAATTTATTTATTTTTAAGTAATTAAATGCAAAAAAAAAATTAATATGATGACAGTTCCTGGCTAAAAACTTTAGGGACCACTATTAAAACTTATTAATGAAAATTAACTTAATAATTTATTGTTCTTCCATCATTTTTAATTAAGGAGGTTGTAAATATGATTATGCATTGATTTGATCAGCTTTTGAAGAGTCCTAATTGCTAATCTTCTCCTTTGGTTACAAAATATTTTCAAATTGACAAAATGCTCCATTCTGGTTTTAATATAATAACTATACAAAGATGCTTCTGAGGTTTCAATGGGATTTAAGTGTAGAATGCTCTCTGGCCATGGAATGGGAAATCAAAATAATGATTTTCCATTCCTTGAAGTAGATTTGTTTGGTCATATTCACAGCATGGATGAGATTAAAAGTTAATTTTTTTCCTGCAAACAAAGGGGCTTTATGTAATAAAAACTGATAATAAGTAAATATAGTTATTGACATTTTGGTTTTTTTTTTTCCAGAAAAGTCATCCCTGTTTACCATCATATACAAATCCTATCTAAACTATAACTTTATCACCTGCTATCTGCCAGCAATACAATCTTAGGCTTTTTTTAAAAAAAAAATAATTAAAGCCGTCAAGACCATTCAAATTAAGTTTTTTTTTATCACTGAAAATAATGGATTTCTAATCTGTGGCCATGTTTTCTTTTGTTTGTCTAACCCTGCTAAGCTTATACAATTTTGCTTTAGCTGACTTTTTTCAATGTAGCTAGCTACATTATAGGAAGTTAGAGATTTGCTAGAACTTTACTTAGAAAGCATCCAGTTTTGGAAACATGCCTAATATATTCTTGCTTTAGCTCCACATGCTAAATTTGTAAAGTTAGTGGTAATCTACCAACTTGGCAATACAGATTACCAGCAATGACAGTGTGCTCAGATGTTTCAATCAGTAATCTAACTTAATACAATGTATTAATATCATAGAAATAAACAAATGTTTTCTTTCCAAATGATTAAACTGCCGAATTCATTTTATTTCCAATAATCCAACACTATATACGTGTCGGATAGTCCAGTCCCGTTTGTCAGATTACCAAGATTGTACTGTATTTACAATTTTAGGCAATTTGAAAAAGCATAATGCACAGTTGGTTATTTCATTTTTATTAACTTTGTTACCATACTAATATTAATCACTTGTATATTTGCAATTATCCCTACTAGGCTGTATTAGTAGAGACAATAAAAATAAGTTAAAAAAATTCGCATTTACGATTATGTTATTAAAGTGCAAAGTGGGTTGACTGTAAACACTGAGGGACAATTGTAAATCTCTCAGTATTTGTGTTTAGAACTCTACATATCTGTGAGGCATGGGAAATTGTTCATAAACATAAATCTTTGAGATGCAAAATGAACAAAATTGGGCAATTTTATTTCACCAAACAGTTGAGAAGCAGACAAACTTGATTTTGATATACGCCAGAATATGCTCAAATAAAATAATTTGATATAAATTGTTTTTGATTTCAGCCTATAAAAATTAGACTTACAAGGGACGGTCACAAGTTTCTGTGTGCACTTTTTAATAAAATCGTTAATTATTAATGTAGATTGTGTACAGTTGCCAATCGGTAATCATGTAACTATGGCCTTTTTAAACAGCTGCTCGCACAAATAGGCAAAATATACAAAGAGAAAACTTGAAAAAATACATATGTAATTACATAGTTTGTCTGAAAAACTGAAGGCCGACTACATCACGGTGTGGTCAGTAACACCTGCAGTTCCTGACTTGGCTTCTGTTCTCCTTTCGTTTGCTTTTTTAATATGTATAAAAAATAACATATTAAATTTAACTGAATAAAATAATGCTTGTTTTTATTTCACAATAGTTTTAAATTTAATATTTTGTCTCTAGTTAAACAAAAAAAAATAACATGTTGGATTTTTCTTTTTAAGTTTTTAGCTTTCAGACTCTTGCCAATGAGAATTCGATTTGCGAATTATCAAAACTAGGTCTACATGTGAAAATCCAGTTACTATTGTTTAACATCCCTATTTATATTTTCACATATATTTCTATGCTTAGCAAGATAAAGTAACAAAGAACAAAAGATACTTTTTATTTAACTAGAGAGAAAATATTAAATTTATAAAAGATTTCTTCTTGATGCATGTACGAGGCATCCCGAAATAAAAGCTTCTGTCGGTCGCTAGCAATTAAATAGGCCTATTCTTGACCATCACTATAAATACCGTCAAATTTGTATTTCTAAGTACCATTTAAAATTATCTCTACTGCTTTTGATATGGAGTAATTTTAAATGCTGAATTTAGCAGTTTCTATGGTACACAATCAAAGTAGAGAGATAAAAGGTCCACCTGACTACACTGTTTTACTAATTAATACAAAAATATGGTACAGAATCTTGTTAATGATGGCAGTGCTCATATTTATAGATGACATCTTTAGTCCTGAAATAAAAAACAAAATAAAATTTTAAACACAAGCCAAGGACCATAATAAAAACCTTAATTAATAAAGCATCCCTTGCACCAGAGTATGCATCAGGTTTTCAAATTGTGCTGTATAATGACAGGAGGGGATTAATAATTATCCCAGTCTACCCTATTTGTCGTCAAATTCTTTTTTTTTTCTTTTGTATTTAATTAGGCCTACTTGAAAATAAATAAATTTTGTGTTGTTCGTTGATTGTCAATATATATTTTCATTCCAAATTTCCAATAATGTTTCTTGTATAGTAGACATCTGATGCTTGGTTTTAGTGAAAATAGGAAATAATGCCTACACTTAGTTTTCAACTGCGCTTGTTTTTTTTATAGTTTTTATGAAGGTTGAGTCTTCTCTAAGGCATGAAGAAAGCCAGCCAAAACTAAATTCAGTGCTTCTTTGCTCTAAGTCTACCCTTTTATAAGATTAGAATAGTTATCTTTGACCAATCTGACATTGGACTTGGGATCAGTTGAGGAGCTCTGTTTTTTGTCTGCCTTCTTTGGATCCCCATCATCAGTGGTACCACTTACTGACCTTCCAGAAAAACATTCACTGAAGCTGAAAATGTAGACAATATTTTCTGACAAGATAGGCTTCACTTTAGGTATAACATTTCCTTCTATCGAGAATCAAACTCTGCTTTTTTGAGAGTGTTTGGTTTTCTTCTTTGGAATTTCTAGGGCTTCTGTAACTTACAGCATACATCAGATCTTTCTGCTATCCTTTGGCTAGACTAGATTTTCACATTTCACTCTAATCCATGGCAACCACTAAATCATAATTGGCATTGGGTTTTCATATTTGACACAATATTGTCAATATTATGTAACTTTTTCCAACAAAATTTACTAACATACAGTTATATATAACCTGTGTAATTGTATTGGGGAGATCTTGAGAATCAGTACAAGAACCGAAACTGCTAGTAATAGAGATAAAAGAAACTAATATATAACTTCACAATGTAGAATAAAGAAACATTGCTAGAACAGTCATAAATCAAATAACAACTCTCTTATGCTGGACATCTAAGAGTATGTCCTAAGTGGCAGCATCCAGTGACCATAGGTGTGAACAAACTGAGTGGAACAAACAAATCAATACAAGAAAATGTGTCTGGAGTAACCACATTTTGCATGCCGCTACCACCAGATGACACTTCTACATGTGTGTGCAGGAAGCAGCTACCAAGCAAGTTTGATCATTGCTTTCACTGCTCACACTTTCAAAGAAAATATGGATTGCCTTTTTATTTCATGATACAAATGGTGATATTCACCAAACTGACAACATTTCTTATAAATATTGTGTGTCTTTTGCCTATAAGAAGTTTCGGTAATACAATGTAGAAAACTTTTCCATGGCAAACATTTGATGAAGTCATCTCTCTGTCATTTTGTAAACAACACTTGTCCACTCTGGACAGAGGTTGCTTGCCAGCTGGAAGCATATAAAAAGATTCTTTCTGCCTATGATTGCTGGACGCTGCCACGTAGGACGTAGCCTAATGTATACAGGTATAGAATTAGTATATTGAATACAATTTCTCGTCTTATTGTTTTTTAACAGCAGTTATAACAGAACATTTTGAAAGTAAATTATGGATTTTATAATAAAAAGAATTAATTTTATTACAGTATAATATATGAAAGAGCTAAAGAATTTGTAATTTTTGTTCAAATTAATTATTTTAACATTTGGTTATCAAATATTCTGCGAAATTAATGATTTAAAATTTTTTTGCATAATTAATTTTTATTTATACTTTAAAATTAAGCAGTTTATTCAAAATATTAAATTTTTAAAAATTTATTTGCAGATTTAAAGATGGATGTTCAAGTTAGAGAAATCAAAGTTCTTGACTCTGTTGAAGACATTCAAGATAGAAGAGAAGCTGTTCTCGACCGATACTCACAGTTTAAAGCTGCGGCACGTTCAAAGAGAGACAAGCTCGAAGATTCTCGTCGCTTTCAGTACTTTAAAAGAGATGCAGATGAATTAGAATCGTGGATATATGAAAAACTTCAGGCGGCTTCGGACGAGAGTTACAAAGATCCTACAAACCTTCAGGCCAAAATCCAGAAACATCAAGCTTTTGAAGCTGAAGTTGCCGCTCATAGCAATGCTATAGTGGTTCTGGATAATACTGGTTTAGAGATGATTAATCAAGGACATTTTGCTTCCGAAACTATCAAAGTAAGTTTATAAATGTGTAAACTTTATAAATAAATAATTTTATGAAAATATAATAATTTATTCACCTATTTATTTTGTGACTTAGCATCGTCTCGACGAATTACATCGTCTGTGGAAATTATTATTAACTCGCCTGGCCGACAAAGGTTTGAAATTACAACAGGCTCTCGTGCTCGTTCAGTTTTTGCGACAATGCGACGAAGTAATGTTTTGGATTAACGATAAGGTACAAATTACCATAAATATTTTATTTACTTTTGACTAATTAAATATATTTTAAGTTATTTTATATGAAAATTTAATTAAATCCTCTGTGTAATATTTTAGTATTAGTAAATTTAGAGAGAATTCATAAAGTTTACATAGAAATATGATTTTTATGAATATTTATTTATTCAATAAAACATGTAGTAAGGAATTCATAAAATATATTTAATTTTATTACAGGAAGCTTTTGTTGTTACGGATGAATTTGGATTGGATTTAGAACATGTTGAAGTATTGCAACGTAAATTTGATGAATTTCAAAAGGTATTTCTAAAATAAATTCATTATAATTATCATGAGCTTTAAACAGATGATGTAAAACTGTTAAACAAAAGTATATATAACTTTCATAAACTTTTATTTATTTTTTAAAAATAATCTTAGGATATGGCTAGCCAGGAATTCAGAGTTACTGAAGTTAATGAACAAGCAGATAAATTGATAAATGAGGATCATCCTGAAAAAGAAACTATTCTAAAACGAAAAGAGGTATGAATGTTTTTAATGACTTCGGATAGTTGATATTGAAGTTATTTTAATTTTTTTATTTTATTTTAGGAATTAAATGATGCATGGCAAAGACTTAAAGCCTTAACACTATTAAGACAAGAAAAATTATTTGGTGCACATGAAATCCAGAGATTTAATAGGTAAAATTAATTAAATTTTTCATAATTTTGATTGATCAATTATGATTATCAGTTATCACAGTTAAATTATTTTTTAGTTTAAAGTAAAATTTATTGTATGACCTTGCAATTTGTACCATTGTAATTTTTTTATTTTATTTTAGGAATTAAATGATNAATCATTAATGTTTGAATTGTGCATTAGAATAGATTTCTTTTCTATTTATTTATAATTTTTCTATGATTACTGCAAGAAAGAAAAACAGTAATTTTCCAGTTTTCTTGTCTTCCGAACATCTCAATGACTGTAATGACAAAATGATATTAAAATTGCCACCATAAATTTATAATTTTATAAAATATAAGAATATATTGCATTTTCATTGTGTATAAATAGTAGAATAGAGTAGTAAATGCAAATAAGTTACTGTATTGTAAATTATTTATTAATTCATATAAATGTTGTATTATGCTAACTTATAGTTTTGTTCAGTGCACGTAGCTATACCAGAAATATCCAGCACAAATTATACTTACTAAAAATAATGATAAACAAACATTTTTGATAATTTTTAAATTGATATTAAAAAGAAATATTAAATTAAATTTACCATTGCATGTTTAATTTTTGATTTTATATATAAAAAAAATTAATTAAGAATTTTAGTATATTTAAGGATGGCACTGCATAAATGCTTAAAATTTTTCAATGATTAGTTTTGCTGAAGTGTTAGTTAAATTGTTTTATCTCCCACTTTGTTTCAATTGTTTCAAAGATACACTGTGTTTTATCTTGAGATGGAAACAAAACATAGAATAAATTTCAGTTATTTTGCAATTTAATCATTAATGTTTGAATTGTGCATTAGAATAGATTTCTTTTCTATTTATTTATAATTTTTCTATGATTACTGCAAGAAAGAAAAACAGTAATTTTCCAGTTTTCTTGTCTTCCGAACATCTCAATGACTGTAATGACAAAATGATATTAAAATTGCCACCATAAATTTATAATTTTATAAAATATAAGAATATATTGCATTTTCATTGTGTATAAATAGTAGAATAGAGTAGTAAATGCAAATAAGTTACTGTATNTCTATTAATTGATGCATGTTGCATACTCCTTGGATAATAATTAACATAATTACAATAATATAAAATGGTAGAATTCATTTTGTAAGACTATATATATGCAAATTTTACATAAAAAGTTGCTACTGTCAGTTTGTTTCAGAGTATTTATCTTCACTACACTATCCAGAACCTGTAACCGGTGTGTAGATCTTGTACACTATCCGGAACCTATTCTACTCTCAGCACTGGGTGCTGAGAGTAGAATAGTTTCTGTATTTATAGGTATTTATCTTTGTTGACATTTGATTAGTTTTCTGTTTCTGATTTTGTAAAATGTTAGTGAGAACTAAATTTACAAAGTGAAAATACTCAACTTTTTTTTCAACCAATTACCAACTTTTCCTGAAGAATTGTTAATTATTTTCCTAATAATTTGGAGATGTTTTTGATTGATTGCCTCATTTTATTTACTAATATTAATCAGGAATGACATATGCCTGTAATTTTGCTGTAGTAATACTATTACTATATAAATACATTTAATATTTCATAATATTGACAATATTTTTCTTGTGGAGTACATTTTTTTATTACAAAAACAAATATTAGATTACAAGAATGAAATTTCAAGAAATTCTTTTATGAAATATTAATAATTATATTATTTAAAAAGAAAAAAAAAACAAAATTAAATGCCCTTCATTCAAAATGTTTATTTAGTGTAATGCTTATAAGTAACATACTTTGTGTAATGCTGTAAGACAGAGTATGCTAGTTTTTAACATTATACTAGATAAAAAAAATAAATGCATAGAATATTGTTTTCTGTTAGAAATACAGTAGAACCTCAATTTAATTTTCTACTGTTTGTTTTCCTTTTTCTTCAAAGACTAAAAATCCTTCCACATTTTTGCTGAAATGTCTTGACAAGAGTCAAACCCCAGCAAATAATATACTTTATTTAATAAGATATATTGTTTTGTAGGCTGTTAAATAAATTATAAGGACAGTAATTATGAAATTAGGTTATGAAAATTGAGGGGGGTGCAAAAAATTTTTCTGAGAAAGAGGGTGGCAGAGATACGGAAAGTTTGGAAACCACTACCTTAACCAATTGCACCATGCTACTGCTTTGTGAATTGGTCTTTCATATCGATATTAATGGTCGTATAAAAATTTTTATTCCAATTTTTTTGAGATTGCACGAATAGTGGGTCCTGCAGCTTTGGTAGAGTTTAAATACAAGTAAATACTACACATCCACAAAATTTTGTCAAAATTGGTAATTAAAAACTGCCACATTCTCTTGTAACCTTAATTGTGGTGACATCAAAATAATGATGATAAACATTTACGTAAGTTTTTTGATCTATGCATACACTATACATAGAAGCATGGATTAGATTAATTTCCATAGAGTTGTATATGATTCTTTGAGATTAGATCAACTGTTTTAAAACATTTCGCTTTCCGCCTACATTCAAAATATTCTCTATAATTTATTTATATTGATTCATCTCGTTAATTCTCTTCTCATCCTCTTTTGTCACCTTTTTTTCAAGTGTATCAATATTTTCTGGAGTCCTTAAAATAGAATTTCTTAGGAGTGGTTGTCTGGTCTTTGCGTGATTAATTGGATTTAATTTGTTCGAGGATTTTTGGTTCCATTGCTATCCATGTTATTCGTAACAGTAATTATCAGTACTACAGTTTGAATGTTTATGACACTTATAAAGGAATAGTTAAACAATAAATGGTTGTAGTTAGTGCTATAATTGACAAAATTCTTCTCAGTATTTGGGTTTAGTGTACTGGTTTCTTCTCAGTATTCCACTAAATCATGATACAGAGAATAAGTGGAAAATGAATTGGAACAGATTCTACTAATTTTTCTGTTTTCAATATAGAACTTTCATGTTATTGATCTTTATTTATAATGAGAATAAATCATTTGAATATTTAAATATTTTTAATTAAAATTCTGAAACATTATAGTAAGTTTATTAGTGCCATTGCCCATGCTGGTGTCAATGAACATCCATATCCAGTCAGGAAGAATGTGGCCTGCAACCCGAGATACGATGCAGCTCAGAACTTTAGGGACAGGCATTATTTCCTATTTTTAATAAAACTAAGCATCATATGTATGTCAATTGTTAACACAATATAGTAATAAAATGCAAATAAGTATTGATGGTCAAGAAAGAACAATTTATTTATTTTTAAGTAATTAAATGCAAAAAAAAAATTAATATGATGACAGTTCCTGGCTAAAAACTTTAGGGACCACTATTAAAACTTATTAATGAAAATTAACTTAATAATTTATTGTTCTTCCATCATTTTTAATTAAGGAGGTTGTAAATATGATTATGCATTGATTTGATCAGCTTTTGAAGAGTCCTAATTGCTAATCTTCTCCTTTGGTTACAAAATATTTTCAAATTGACAAAATGCTCCATTCTGGTTTTAATATAATAACTATACAAAGATGCTTCTGAGGTTTCAATGGGATTTAAGTGTAGAATGCTCTCTGGCCATGGAATGGGAAATCAAAATAATGATTTTCCATTCCTTGAAGTAGATTTGTTTGGTCATATTCACAGCATGGATGAGATTAAAAGTTAATTTTTTTCCTGCAAACAAAGGGGCTTTATGTAATAAAAACTGATAATAAGTAAATATAGTTATTGACATTTTGGTTTTTTTTTTTCCAGAAAAGTCATCCCTGTTTACCATCATATACAAATCCTATCTAAACTATAACTTTATCACCTGCTATCTGCCAGCAATACAATCTTAGGCTTTTTTTAAAAAAAAAATAATTAAAGCCGTCAAGACCATTCAAATTAAGTTTTTTTTTATCACTGAAAATAATGGATTTCTAATCTGTGGCCATGTTTTCTTTTGTTTGTCTAACCCTGCTAAGCTTATACAATTTTGCTTTAGCTGACTTTTTTCAATGTAGCTAGCTACATTATAGGAAGTTAGAGATTTGCTAGAACTTTACTTAGAAAGCATCCAGTTTTGGAAACATGCCTAATATATTCTTGCTTTAGCTCCACATGCTAAATTTGTAAAGTTAGTGGTAATCTACCAACTTGGCAATACAGATTACCAGCAATGACAGTGTGCTCAGATGTTTCAATCAGTAATCTAACTTAATACAATGTATTAATATCATAGAAATAAACAAATGTTTTCTTTCCAAATGATTAAACTGCCGAATTCATTTTATTTCCAATAATCCAACACTATATACGTGTCGGATAGTCCAGTCCCGTTTGTCAGATTACCAAGATTGTACTGTATTTACAATTTTAGGCAATTTGAAAAAGCATAATGCACAGTTGGTTATTTCATTTTTATTAACTTTGTTACCATACTAATATTAATCACTTGTATATTTGCAATTATCCCTACTAGGCTGTATTAGTAGAGACAATAAAAATAAGTTAAAAAAATTCGCATTTACGATTATGTTATTAAAGTGCAAAGTGGGTTGACTGTAAACACTGAGGGACAATTGTAAATCTCTCAGTATTTGTGTTTAGAACTCTACATATCTGTGAGGCATGGGAAATTGTTCATAAACATAAATCTTTGAGATGCAAAATGAACAAAATTGGGCAATTTTATTTCACCAAACAGTTGAGAAGCAGACAAACTTGATTTTGATATACGCCAGAATATGCTCAAATAAAATAATTTGATATAAATTGTTTTTGATTTCAGCCTATAAAAATTAGACTTACAAGGGACGGTCACAAGTTTCTGTGTGCACTTTTTAATAAAATCGTTAATTATTAATGTAGATTGTGTACAGTTGCCAATCGGTAATCATGTAACTATGGCCTTTTTAAACAGCTGCTCGCACAAATAGGCAAAATATACAAAGAGAAAACTTGAAAAAATACATATGTAATTACATAGTTTGTCTGAAAAACTGAAGGCCGACTACATCACGGTGTGGTCAGTAACACCTGCAGTTCCTGACTTGGCTTCTGTTCTCCTTTCGTTTGCTTTTTTAATATGTATAAAAAATAACATATTAAATTTAACTGAATAAAATAATGCTTGTTTTTATTTCACAATAGTTTTAAATTTAATATTTTGTCTCTAGTTAAACAAAAAAAAATAACATGTTGGATTTTTCTTTTTAAGTTTTTAGCTTTCAGACTCTTGCCAATGAGAATTCGATTTGCGAATTATCAAAACTAGGTCTACATGTGAAAATCCAGTTACTATTGTTTAACATCCCTATTTATATTTTCACATATATTTCTATGCTTAGCAAGATAAAGTAACAAAGAACAAAAGATACTTTTTATTTAACTAGAGAGAAAATATTAAATTTATAAAAGATTTCTTCTTGATGCATGTACGAGGCATCCCGAAATAAAAGCTTCTGTCGGTCGCTAGCAATTAAATAGGCCTATTCTTGACCATCACTATAAATACCGTCAAATTTGTATTTCTAAGTACCATTTAAAATTATCTCTACTGCTTTTGATATGGAGTAATTTTAAATGCTGAATTTAGCAGTTTCTATGGTACACAATCAAAGTAGAGAGATAAAAGGTCCACCTGACTACACTGTTTTACTAATTAATACAAAAATATGGTACAGAATCTTGTTAATGATGGCAGTGCTCATATTTATAGATGACATCTTTAGTCCTGAAATAAAAAACAAAATAAAATTTTAAACACAAGCCAAGGACCATAATAAAAACCTTAATTAATAAAGCATCCCTTGCACCAGAGTATGCATCAGGTTTTCAAATTGTGCTGTATAATGACAGGAGGGGATTAATAATTATCCCAGTCTACCCTATTTGTCGTCAAATTCTTTTTTTTTTCTTTTGTATTTAATTAGGCCTACTTGAAAATAAATAAATTTTGTGTTGTTCGTTGATTGTCAATATATATTTTCATTCCAAATTTCCAATAATGTTTCTTGTATAGTAGACATCTGATGCTTGGTTTTAGTGAAAATAGGAAATAATGCCTACACTTAGTTTTCAACTGCGCTTGTTTTTTTTATAGTTTTTATGAAGGTTGAGTCTTCTCTAAGGCATGAAGAAAGCCAGCCAAAACTAAATTCAGTGCTTCTTTGCTCTAAGTCTACCCTTTTATAAGATTAGAATAGTTATCTTTGACCAATCTGACATTGGACTTGGGATCAGTTGAGGAGCTCTGTTTTTTGTCTGCCTTCTTTGGATCCCCATCATCAGTGGTACCACTTACTGACCTTCCAGAAAAACATTCACTGAAGCTGAAAATGTAGACAATATTTTCTGACAAGATAGGCTTCACTTTAGGTATAACATTTCCTTCTATCGAGAATCAAACTCTGCTTTTTTGAGAGTGTTTGGTTTTCTTCTTTGGAATTTCTAGGGCTTCTGTAACTTACAGCATACATCAGATCTTTCTGCTATCCTTTGGCTAGACTAGATTTTCACATTTCACTCTAATCCATGGCAACCACTAAATCATAATTGGCATTGGGTTTTCATATTTGACACAATATTGTCAATATTATGTAACTTTTTCCAACAAAATTTACTAACATACAGTTATATATAACCTGTGTAATTGTATTGGGGAGATCTTGAGAATCAGTACAAGAACCGAAACTGCTAGTAATAGAGATAAAAGAAACTAATATATAACTTCACAATGTAGAATAAAGAAACATTGCTAGAACAGTCATAAATCAAATAACAACTCTCTTATGCTGGACATCTAAGAGTATGTCCTAAGTGGCAGCATCCAGTGACCATAGGTGTGAACAAACTGAGTGGAACAAACAAATCAATACAAGAAAATGTGTCTGGAGTAACCACATTTTGCATGCCGCTACCACCAGATGACACTTCTACATGTGTGTGCAGGAAGCAGCTACCAAGCAAGTTTGATCATTGCTTTCACTGCTCACACTTTCAAAGAAAATATGGATTGCCTTTTTATTTCATGATACAAATGGTGATATTCACCAAACTGACAACATTTCTTATAAATATTGTGTGTCTTTTGCCTATAAGAAGTTTCGGTAATACAATGTAGAAAACTTTTCCATGGCAAACATTTGATGAAGTCATCTCTCTGTCATTTTGTAAACAACACTTGTCCACTCTGGACAGAGGTTGCTTGCCAGCTGGAAGCATATAAAAAGATTCTTTCTGCCTATGATTGCTGGACGCTGCCACGTAGGACGTAGCCTAATGTATACAGGTATAGAATTAGTATATTGAATACAATTTCTCGTCTTATTGTTTTTTAACAGCAGTTATAACAGAACATTTTGAAAGTAAATTATGGATTTTATAATAAAAAGAATTAATTTTATTACAGTATAATATATGAAAGAGCTAAAGAATTTGTAATTTTTGTTCAAATTAATTATTTTAACATTTGGTTATCAAATATTCTGCGAAATTAATGATTTAAAATTTTTTTGCATAATTAATTTTTATTTATACTTTAAAATTAAGCAGTTTATTCAAAATATTAAATTTTTAAAAATTTATTTGCAGATTTAAAGATGGATGTTCAAGTTAGAGAAATCAAAGTTCTTGACTCTGTTGAAGACATTCAAGATAGAAGAGAAGCTGTTCTCGACCGATACTCACAGTTTAAAGCTGCGGCACGTTCAAAGAGAGACAAGCTCGAAGATTCTCGTCGCTTTCAGTACTTTAAAAGAGATGCAGATGAATTAGAATCGTGGATATATGAAAAACTTCAGGCGGCTTCGGACGAGAGTTACAAAGATCCTACAAACCTTCAGGCCAAAATCCAGAAACATCAAGCTTTTGAAGCTGAAGTTGCCGCTCATAGCAATGCTATAGTGGTTCTGGATAATACTGGTTTAGAGATGATTAATCAAGGACATTTTGCTTCCGAAACTATCAAAGTAAGTTTATAAATGTGTAAACTTTATAAATAAATAATTTTATGAAAATATAATAATTTATTCACCTATTTATTTTGTGACTTAGCATCGTCTCGACGAATTACATCGTCTGTGGAAATTATTATTAACTCGCCTGGCCGACAAAGGTTTGAAATTACAACAGGCTCTCGTGCTCGTTCAGTTTTTGCGACAATGCGACGAAGTAATGTTTTGGATTAACGATAAGGTACAAATTACCATAAATATTTTATTTACTTTTGACTAATTAAATATATTTTAAGTTATTTTATATGAAAATTTAATTAAATCCTCTGTGTAATATTTTAGTATTAGTAAATTTAGAGAGAATTCATAAAGTTTACATAGAAATATGATTTTTATGAATATTTATTTATTCAATAAAACATGTAGTAAGGAATTCATAAAATATATTTAATTTTATTACAGGAAGCTTTTGTTGTTACGGATGAATTTGGATTGGATTTAGAACATGTTGAAGTATTGCAACGTAAATTTGATGAATTTCAAAAGGTATTTCTAAAATAAATTCATTATAATTATCATGAGCTTTAAACAGATGATGTAAAACTGTTAAACAAAAGTATATATAACTTTCATAAACTTTTATTTATTTTTTAAAAATAATCTTAGGATATGGCTAGCCAGGAATTCAGAGTTACTGAAGTTAATGAACAAGCAGATAAATTGATAAATGAGGATCATCCTGAAAAAGAAACTATTCTAAAACGAAAAGAGGTATGAATGTTTTTAATGACTTCGGATAGTTGATATTGAAGTTATTTTAATTTTTTTATTTTATTTTAGGAATTAAATGATGCATGGCAAAGACTTAAAGCCTTAACACTATTAAGACAAGAAAAATTATTTGGTGCACATGAAATCCAGAGATTTAATAGGTAAAATTAATTAAATTTTTCATAATTTTGATTGATCAATTATGATTATCAGTTATCACAGTTAAATTATTTTTTAGTTTAAAGTAAAATTTATTGTATGACCTTGCAATTTGTACCATTGTAATAGGAAATAAATGTTTCAAATTTTGACTTTTTAAGTAAACATAATGATTTTAAAATAACAAATTAATTTCTTTTCGTAGGATTTTTTTCTGCTTTAAGAAATTGTGAAAATAAAACATTTAAATAATATTTTACAAATATTTATTTTATTCCAGAGATGCAGACGAAACAATTGCATGGATCACTGAAAAAGATGTTGTTCTTTCATCAGATGATTATGGAAGAGACCTGGTCAGTGTTCAGACTTTGCAGCGTAAGCACGAAGGCATTGAGAGAGATTTAGCTGCTTTAGAAGATAAAGTAATTATTTATGAATACATTATTAGTTTTCTTTTTTAATTTGTACAAATTACGAATATGTAAAAATTAAAACTTAGATAAAAAAATATTTTATTTTATCTAAGTTAAGCTTACTATATTCTAGAAATTTTTATTTAAAATAATTACTGAAATTAATTTGTGTTGTCAATGAAAATATTTTAGATTATTAAAGAAAAATCTTTTTCTTGAATTTATTATGCATTCTTTCCCACATATATAAATTTTAATGATTATACAACTGTACAAGAAGTATTTCTGATAAAAAATTCTTTATTTTGTGAATAAATTTTTATATTTTCCTGCTTAATAATTTTTTTATATGTGAATTAATAATTATGACTTTTTTGCACTTGGTATATGATTGTGAAACATTTTAAAATTTGAATAAATAATTTTTAAATTGATATTAAAAAGAAATATTAAATTAAATTTACCATTGCATGTTTAATTTTTGATTTTATATATAAAAAAAATTAATTAAGAATTTTAGTATATTTAAGGATGGCACTGCATAAATGCTTAAAATTTTTCAATGATTAGTTTTGCTGAAGTGTTAGTTAAATTGTTTTATCTCCCACTTTGTTTCAATTGTTTCAAAGATACACTGTGTTTTATCTTGAGATGGAAACAAAACATAGAATAAATTTCAGTTATTTTGCAATTTAATCATTAATGTTTGAATTGTGCATTAGAATAGATTTCTTTTCTATTTATTTATAATTTTTCTATGATTACTGCAAGAAAGAAAAACAGTAATTTTCCAGTTTTCTTGTCTTCCGAACATCTCAATGACTGTAATGACAAAATGATATTAAAATTGCCACCATAAATTTATAATTTTATAAAATATAAGAATATATTGCATTTTCATTGTGTATAAATAGTAGAATAGAGTAGTAAATGCAAATAAGTTACTGTATTGTAAATTATTTATTAATTCATATAAATGTTGTATTATGCTAACTTATAGTTTTGTTCAGTGCACGTAGCTATACCAGAAATATCCAGCACAAATTATACTTACTAAAAATAATGAAGACTAATGTTTTTAATGATTTTTAAATTATCTTCAAAGCATGGAGGTCTATTTTTGAGCACAACTATAAATTAAATCATATTACTTAAAAAAACAATAATAATTGTCATTATTGACATTGGCATTTTATCCAACCAATGAAATAATTGTTCCATATGTTTTTAAAATGACATTTGAATTTTCATGTTGATGTTTGACTTGTTTTAACCTGAAGATGATGATTTAAAAATTGATGAAAACATTTCTTTTCAATATTTTTAGTAAGTATAAATTATGCTGGATATTTTTGGTATAGATAAGTGCATTGGACTTAATTAAATCCAGTTTTACGTAGTAGTATTATAGTTTTATTACTGATTTGTTAATACTGCTACTACTGTTAGTTTTTTTTAATTCTCTTTTAATAAAGCCAATTCTGTTTTATTTATGTACAGACTTGTTCTATCATATTTTACAGAAATATTTGCCAAAGATAAAAAAAAATATTCCTCACAAATGGTGAAGCAAATAATTATTATTAGAACAGTGTGTAACAAAACAGTTTGAAGTGCTATATTTTAAAAGGCAATATTTATATTTCAAAGAAACTTTAAAGTAGATGGGAAATAAGATGATTTCTTTAAATGCTTTCAAAATATTCGTACATCATTAGGTTTTGTCAGGAGCTATAAATTAAATTACAAATATTTGGGTAAAAGAACAATAACCAATTAAATAGTACTACCAGCACAGCTGATTTTAGCTCCTCCTATATTATTTAGATCACATGTTCTTAATAATTAAACTGTTTTATTAATTTATTATTTTCATAATGTAAGTAACCAAGATGAAGTTAAATGCATTGTTTTTGGTGACGGATTGATCTATAAGTAGTGACATCGCAGATTTATTTACTAAAATAAACTTTTATGGTCATTTTGAAAGAAGTTTCTGGACTTCTGCAAACTTTTCTATAAAATATAATGCAACAAGTTTTTAGGAAAGTGTATAAATAAGATGATTAGGTAGATATTCCTGAACAAAAGTTTAGAAAAAAAGACAAAATTTAACTACACTTCAAATTTGAATACAAACATGCCTGTAAAAGCTCATACAGATACAATCATGCATAAACAAACAAAATTTCCTTTTTGCTCATAAGATTTGAAATAAAGATATCTTTTTAAAAATTTGGAACAACTAAATAAAATTACTTCACAAGATTATAAAATTTTTATAAGTTGTATGTGTTTTATTTTGCATTTATAATATATAATTAATCGGATATGTTAACATGAAATTTTAGTAATGTGAATCTAAATTATATTTTAGGTTATGACTCTAGGTCAAGAAGCCGATAGACTTTGTAATCTTCACGAAGATCATGCCGAACAAATTCAAAATAAACATGCAGAAATTGTTTCAAATTGGGAAATGTTAAAAACCAAGGTTTGGTTTTTATATATATATAATTTTTTGAGAAGTTTATTATTTTCATTTAAAATTTTGAGTGTTTACATATAAAACTTTTTAAATGTAGGCCCAAGAACGTCGTCATCGTCTTGATGAATCCTATTTGCTTCATAGATTCTTGGCCGACTTCCGAGATTTGGTATCGTGGATTCATGACATGAAAACAATTATATCTGCAGATGAATTAGCCAAAGATGTTGCAGGAGCAGAAGCCTTACTAGAACGTCATCAGGAACATAAAGTAAAAAATATTTTGAATAATAATTGATAAACTCTTAAATTTAAAATGGTTTAAAAATTTATTAAAACGTTTTGCTTTAGATGTCTATGACTTTTCAAATTTACTATACCTTTTTTATTTGGAATTATTTTATATAAAATTTACATAAATATAATTATACACTGTTACTGTATAATTAATATCTTAAATGAATTAGTTTGTACAAAGCAGGAAAAATTGACTGATAGATTTAATAGTAATGCCAATAATCAAAATCTATAAATAAGAATTGCCTGCCTGTTTTGAAAATAGTTTTGTTTAAAAATTGATTTTTGAAGTGTATATTTGTTTTAAAACTTTGCTATTTCCAAAATTTTTTCTCAACTTTACTAATTTTGGTAAACAAATTTTTTATTACATTAATAGGGTGAAATCGATGCTAGAGAAGATAGTTTCAGAGCCACTACTGATGCTGGACAAATGCTATTAGATGAAGATCATTATGCAACAACTGAAGTTAAAGAAAAGGTTTGATTTTAAACAATAAATATATGTTTTTTAAGTTGAAAAATAATATATTTATTGCACAATATATCAATGTTTTCAGTTATTAATATTGAACAACGAGAAACAATCTTTACTGTCCATGTGGGAGGAACGTCGTATTCTGTACGAGCAGTGTATGGATTTACAACTTTTCTATCGTGATACTGAACAAGCTGATACTTGGATGGCAAAACAAGAGGTAAATTTAAATTATCATATTTGCATGAAGATATTTAAAATAAAATATCTAAATTCATATTTGTACACAATTGATTTACAAAGAAGAAATCTTTTACATGAAAATCATATTATTAAAATATATATTATGATACCAGTAAGTTTTAAAATTAGAATTTTTTTCTTTATGGGCATGTTAAGGATCATATTTATTCTGATCCTTGACATGTCCACAAATAAAAAAGTTCAAAAAGATGATCCTGTATTCAGCTTTGTAAAATGAATTGTAAGCCAAAGACTTTGTCTAATATTTTAATTATTTTATTTTAGAAACATTTTAATGTAAATTTTTGTTCTTAGTTTTCTTATTTACTATTTTCTAAAAATTATTGATAAGTAATTTGACTATAATAAAATGTAAAAGTTTCATACTTTCTAAAATAAATAATAATATAATAAACTAAAAAATGTATTTATTGTAAGAGGCATATGTTTAATTAATTTTTTTTTAAATATAAGGCTTTCCTTGCTAATGAAGATCTTGGAGATTCTTTGGATTCAGTTGAAGCATTAATTAAAAAACATGAAGATTTTGAAAAATCATTAGCTGCACAAGAAGAAAAAATCAAGGTAAAAGTTTTATTCCCTCTAATAATAATTAAAAAAGAATTCATTTATAAATATTAGAGCTATTTTTAGACATTGTAATTAATGCCATTAATTTAAATTAAAAAACTTGAATTTTTTAAAGTAAATGGAATGTACTGATATCATCTTGAATAAGAATTAATAAATTTTAAACAAATTTTAAGCATTTTTATAAAACCATAATTATAATGTCATCATCTATAATAGTCATCATCTATGGCTTTTCTGACACACAATATTACAGAATATAGAAATTATATTTTGTAAGATCCATTTAGAAAGATAGTGATATGATAATTTTTCTGCAAGATACTAATTTTACACTAGTGTAGGATAAAACAAACATTGCATCATTCTTGTTCTTATTGAGAGCAGAATTAGCAAGTGTTTACTTATTCCATGTGTTCAGAGTCTTGTATAAGTAATTCAATCCAAAGTTCTAGTATTTTTCATTAATTAAAACATAACACAACTATTTCAAGGTAGTTAAAACAGTTTATAAGTATAAAATATTTTATATATAAACATCCCAAGAACCTGATGTATTAATAATCATCCAACCATCAGCCAAATTAATTGGGTGATTAATTTGGCTGATGGTTGGATGATTATTAATTAATACATCGAGTTGTTGGGATGTTTATATATATTTATACCATGCCAGGTAAAGAGAAGGCCATATGAAAGCCATTTTAAAGTAGGCCAGTGGGCATTTAATACATCCCATGCTGTGCCATGGTTAACTGTTGGATAATTATATCTAAAGTTTAAATGTGTTTCGAAGTAAGGAATCACTCAGAAGTTCAGGTGGCATAACTGATCAGTACACCGCACGGTAAGCGGAGGTTGTGGGTTTCACTCCTGCTCTGGGCCATTTCTTTTTTTCCAGACTATTCTAAATTTAAAATTGAATTATAGTTACCACTTTCATTAAGAGTTGACACTTAACATCTACCTCTAGTTCATAATTTCTAATTAATATTTGTAGCATATTTTATGCCCGATTTAATTTTGCTGATGGTTGGATGATTGTTGTATTTTATTTTAACAAAACGAGAAATTTTATGTATATTTTAAAATATTTCAGGTTAATTTTTGTTAGCTTTTAATTATTGATTTATATTTTTAAACAGAATTTTCACGTATGTAAAACATAAATATGTAACATGACAATCATTTAACTTTGCCAGTAAGTTGCAATAAAAGACAAATTGAAAATTAATTGTTGTATTTCTGTTTTACTTATATTTAAAGAATAAAACTGTAAATCATTTAAATTTCTCACAGCTCTAAAATCTGTATTTTTACTAATTAATAGGCATTGGATGAATTCGCTACAAAATTAATTGAAGGTCAGCATTATGCAGCTGACGATGTTGCACAAAGAAGAGCTACGGTAAGTACTTAAGTATTAAAAATTTGTTTTTGGACTACATATTAGTGTAATTTTTTCAAATATAATGTGTAAAATTGATACAAGTTTGAATGGTGATTGTACATTATTACATTCTTATCATGGTTTGCTTTATTATTTTTTAACAGTTTGGTTAAATAAATACTGCTTTTTATTATTTTGTAATTAACAATTTAATATAATGTTTTTTTAATTTGTTATGCTCTCAAATTGAAAATTACTTCATTAACGTTGGACTAATTTTGTCTCTACAATTTTATTTCATAATTTCTCTTTCAGAATCTTGCTGCCATAGCATGAGTTAACAGGAGACATTATTTTCTTTAGTCATATTAAGAAGTAGTAAAAAATGCCTTCTATTGTGATATGGCTCAAGAAAATAATGATTATACAAGATTGTAAAAGAAATTTTGAAATAAAATTGAAGCAAAAGAGCTAGCCGAGCATTAATAAGATAGTCAAACGATAAAGCCAGATTCATTACTGGGCTATAACTTGATCATTTAAATATACAGATGTTATATAATATGGATTAAAGACATTAAGTTACAATGTTTTATTCTGTTAGCACTGAGTATAACCTGTATGGTTATACATGTAAATTATTTGGTCTGGAAATGAAGATTGATGATGGTTCAGGTTTCCTAATTAGCAACATATTTGTACAGAAAGAAATTTCAGGTTCAAGTGCTGCTCCAGATCAAGATTTCCTTCCAGAATATTTTAAATTAATTCAGTTCTAATTATTAAATTTAATACAAAACTACCTTAGTCCAAATTATGTAATATCTGTGTATTTAATTAGCAAAGTTATAGCCTGATAATTAATCTGGCCTTGTCATTTGAATATTAATATAATATGGACTTGATTTGCTATGTTTGACAGAATAGGCCCTAAGTCAAGATGATAAATCACAACATATTTTCTAATAATTTTTAATGAATGCTTTAATTTACATAATTCTACATTTGTTTCAATATTAATTTTATAAAATAATTCTTGTGAAGTTGTGATTTAATTTAAAATAACAGGCCTGAAGTTATTGTTTATACTACTGTCAATAATTGTTTTTAAGATAAAGTAATATAAAATGCACCAGAATTGCAAGATATCTGCAAGATATGATGATTGAATTATCAGTGTTACTAAATTCAAGAATTTGTGATACAATTTCAATGTTTATAGGAAAGATGAGATGATATTTTTGACTTTTTTTGATTATTAATGAAATAAAACAATAAATATAAATTAAATAGTTTTTATTTTTTTAAAAATGATTAAAATGCATTTATTTTATTATTAGCTGTTAGAAAGAAGAACTGCTTTGTTAGAAAAGTCTGCAGTTCGTCATGCTATGTTAGAAGATTCCTATCGTTTGCAACAATTTGAAAGAGACTGCGATGAAACAAAAGGTTGGATCAGTGAGAAACTAAAAACAGCAACAGATGAAAGTTATTTGGTAGGTATACTGTGCTAATTAATTAGTTATGTAATTTATTAGTTATGTGGTGAATTCTGTTAAATGATGATCCAGTTTTTATTCAAAAAATTTGTCTTTTAAAAAAAGTAATTGCTAGGTATGATATGTTGTAATTTTAAAATGATGTGGCTCACAAAATTTAATTTAATAAATTCAAAAGTTATGCTTTAGTGCAGTGTTTTTCAGCGGGGGCGATATTGCCCCCATGTGGGTGTTTTTCCATGTTGAGGGGGCGATTAGTAACAATTTATATTTTTGGGGGGCGAAAAACAATTTTCTGGGCGATATAGTAAAACATTATATTAAGAATAATTAGATATTTTATTCGTTATATCGTACAATAATTAAACAAATAACATTATACTAGTCACTAGTCTATTCAATGCAGTACGAATGTGGCGTTAGCCTTGGCCCTTGGCATTGGAATTTTGAAGTGAAGGGGACAATACTACGTTGAAGGGGGAGACGATTTGTTAGAGGTTGAGAAACACTGCTTTAGTGTATCTGATGAAATTAACTTTTTGTTGTTTATGGTAGTAAAGTTTCTTTTTGCTAGCATAAAAAATTTTGCCCCAAAAAATATGTTAAAATGACGGTTTGAATATTATTTATAATTTACACAACTCGATCACAGATAAAATTTTTTGATTATATAGTTCATTTTCATGAGTAACTTTGCACGAATGGCCATTTGTACATTTTGATTAAACAAACTCAAATAGTTTTTTTACACAAAGAAATTTTTTGCTTCAAAAAAATTATAAATACTTAAAATAAAATAAAAATAAAATGCCATTTGGTATTAAATATGTGAAGCAAGTGTACAGAATAACCTACAGTAGTGTAGTGCCATCTATGAATGGAATGTTTTATAAGAATTGTGAATTCTCAGATTGACAATAAATCATCAAGTGATTTGTTTCATTAATTAATTACTTGACGATATATCAACAAATTATTGCAAAAGGGTTAAACAATATAAATTTCATGAGTTTGTCTTTAGTGGTGCAATGCTGATTTCTAAAGTTGAGGGATTGGTTTAATCATATTACAGTAGATTCATCATTAAAGAGATTATGATTACTTGTAATGTGATTTGAAAAGTGTTCTGTTTAGAAAAAAATGCATTGTTATCTTATCATTACATATATCTCATAACTACTATAATGTAAATTGATTAGAAAAATAAAGGAGGACTGTTGTTGAATGGTGATACATTCTTCTCACCTCACTAGAATAAGAAAATTGGATCTTAAGAGAGACAGTTGTTTAGTTTGTTTTTTAGAGTGAGTTTAATTTAATTTTTAAATTAGTTTCTGTACAGAATGATTAAATCTCATTTACTTATTACAGTAGAGCCTCGAAAACTCGGCCTAATGTGGACCGAAGGGTGGCCGAGTTTGTGAAAATGCCGGGTTATCGGGAATGGGGTTAAAAAAATAAGTATGAGTGTTTCCTCAGAAAATACTGTACTGTACTTGTATGTATTGTTTACTTGAGAATACAACAGAGAATAAACTGCCCAAATACCCTTAAACAAAGGAAAAGTACGTCCTTTATGAAGGCATAGAGCCTTTACTACATGAAAATGAAAATTAATGAATACACTGTGTACAGTAATTTACCTGATAAGACAGACCTCAGAAAAATACTTTGAGGCATAAAGCTGTCTTTATCATGAAAATTAATTAACTAAGGATTTTTTTGCCCTGCCAGGGTGTGGCCGAGTTATCCGGAGTGCCGGGTTATCGAGTGCCGAGTTTTCTAGGCTCTACTGTATTATTTTTTGGAAATCTCTTTAATAATTAATTTTAAAAATTTGGATATCTTTTAGTCCAGAGTTATTATTTAAATATAAATTAAATAAAAATATATGAAAAAATTCAGCATTTTATATCTCCATATTTCTCCTTATGAGTCACAATAAACATGTTTTTATGTATGTTTATATACTGTGTGTGTACATGATGATAAGTATTTTTTTTATTTTGATAATCTTACTAATAAAGCTTACAATTTTATTACATAAATTTTGATAAAAATATACTTCAGGATCCCACTAATCTTAATGGGAAAGTCCAAAAACATCAAAATTTTGAACAAGAACTGAATGCAAACAAAAGTCGTATTGATGAAATTACTAGCACAGGGCAAGAACTAATAGATGCTAATCATTATGCTTCAGAAAGAATAAAGTAAGTTAAATATCTTAATTGACTTTTTTTTTATAATCAAAAATTATAATTATGTTTAACAGTTCACACATACTTATGCACTCAACTCACACTACTAGTGTGTGTGTATAGTAGACTGTTAAAAATAATATAAATAACTTATTCATTATAGATTTAAAGAATTTGAACAGCATACATGGCATTTATTTATTATATCCTTAGTACCATATTATACTTTTTATAATCAGTTACTCAACAGTTTGATTTATTAATTAATATATAATTAGACAATACTTTGTTACCATTAATGCCTTAGTAACTGCAATAATTAGTACAAGTACAGTAGAACCCCAATTTATTCAAGGTAATGTGCACTGATGCTACTTTGGGTAACTGAAAACCTAGGTAAGACAGATGACCAATGATATTTCAAATTAAAAATTAACAACATAAAAGATTTATATGTTATTACGGAAACAAATTTTGCTCGGTATATGACTTTTGTTCGGTATACGACTTAATTCAATTATACGCGCCATCTATGAACAAGTAGCACTATCAGTGTACTAGACCAGACTAGACATTTGCAGTGCAACGGTTTATAACTTTGTTAAATTTCTTCTGATTTTAATTTGTAAGTAACATTTTATTATTTTTATTAATCATGAATTGTAAAAAGGCAAATGAAAAGCAACAGAAAAATAAAAGAAACGACTATAATCACAATGGAACTGACAAAAGAGATTGTTGAGAAATATTAAGGTAGCATGTGTGTTCGAGATTTAACTGTTGCATACCATATTCCTAGAATGACAATATCGACAATTGCGAAAAATAAAGACATTATTAAATCTGCTAACATTGCAAAAGGGGTTAAATCAATTTCTAAATAGAGATTGAAGACATTAGATCATGTTGAGAAATTGCTTTTGTTTCAGATAACTGTAAAACAGTGTGCTGGTGACAGCGTATCAGAAGCAATTATTTGCAAGAAAGCTAAAAAGATACATGCTGATCTCATGAAAAATCAAGCAGGAACTAGCCAGGAAAATGAGGTGTTTAAAGCCAACCATTTTTTTTTTTTTACATGAGAATGGACTAATCATTTTTACATTACTTTTATGGGAAAGGTTGGTTTGGTATACATCCAATTCGGTATAAGTCCAAACATCAGAAACGGATTAAGGTCGCATACCGAGGTTCCACTGTACTTTTAAACCCCTTTTTATACCTTAGTTAGTTCAGTCACTTATAAGAACATTTTTTACATCATTTATTATACTTTCTATACATAAAATACTTTTAAGAATAAAAATCTGTATTATTGTAGTCTGTTCCACATTGAAGCTAAATGCTAAAGGGTAATAGAAACAAATTATTTAATGTGTTATTGTTTTAAACTTTATTTTATAAATTACAGTATAAGAAAAGTAGACTATTCACATATAGATTTATTTTAGCTAATTCAGAACCTTGGTTAATGGGGCTTTGATAATCAGGAATATATTGTATATATGGAGTAAAATAATACAATATATTATTTTTGAAAAGTTTATTTATTTTGGTTATCAATTAAAGATGAAACTTATGTTTTAGATGTCTTATTTCTTTGATTCAAAGACATATATATATTTTGAATTTGAAATTGATTTTTAAAATTTTGAAATAATTTTATTGTGTTTTAAGTATAAGATAAAAAACAATACAAATGTCAATAAGTAAATATTTGTCAGCTCTCTTTCCATATTTATCTGCGTACACAATAACTTCCTATTTTAATGTTGTATCATAATATTATCTAGAAAGCATCTTAAATGCTACAAAGGAATTTCAATTTAATACTGATTACTGTTCAATGTTCATTGAACAATATAGCCAAAAACATTTGTTATTGATGCACAAATACATCACTTGGTCAACTTGTTCTTGTTATTTTGACCCATGAATGTAATATACAATTGATTCTAAGATACATTTTTATTTTGAACAAGCAAAAATGGATAAGAAAGTGTCTTGGAATTGAGAAAATGTGTTATCATTTTTGACTAGTTCAATCAGAAACTCATCATCTCACTCACTTTTCATATTTATTGCATGACTTTTTAAAACTAAATAGATTGTATTAGTACAAAGTTTGAACTAAAAAGATAAGAGTTTCTGTATTAAAAATTATAAGTCACATAATTATTCCAAACAAATTCATTTAATTAAAAAAAATAGTGAACACTCAAAAGCTAAACTTACTGCTTGTCAGAATCCTTTTTCTATAAATTAATGATTATTGCTAAGTATAGTTTATTATATTTTTGTAATTATTGAATTAATCAATCTTTTAATTTTTCATTTTAAGAGTTTGAAAATATTGTATTTTTACATTAACTATAAAATGATGTCAGTTGAGTAGCAAACCAATTTTTTTATGAGATTATTAGTAAAAATGAATTTATGCATTACTGTCTAGATTAAATCTGCATTATAGCGATTCATTCTCCTCATTTCATTAAAAATTATATTAATTAAAATAAATCTGTGCTTAATATTTAATCAATATTTACAGTCATCGTATGGTTGAAATAGTTGAACTGTGGCAATCATTAGTAGAAGCAACAGAAAGAAAAGGATCAAAGTTATCAGAAGCTTCGGCACAACAACAATTTAACCGTGGAGTGGAAGATATTGAAATTTGGCTTTCTGAAATTGAAGGACAACTGTTGTCAGAAGACTATGGAAAAGTATGTTACAATGTTTTTGTATTAAATCTATTTTGATATTACAAATTCATAATATTTATATTTAACTTTTAATGTATTTTCTAAAGGATCTTACAAGTGTCCAGAATCTAATAAAGAAGCAGACTCTTCTAGAAGCAGATGTTGCATCACATCAGGTATGCTATTAATGTAGAATAATTATTATGCATTTCTACTTGTATATTATTTATTTCAATTCACAAGCAGGTTGCGTTTTGATTATATAGAGCATGGAATTGAAATAAAAATTTTAATCATAAAAATATGGAATTGATTATACTATTATTTTAATCTACAGTTTTCTCATTTTCTGAATCTAATTACATAAATAAATTATAGTTACTACAACATACTTGTACATAGACAGCTATATCACCAGTATTTATAGGAATGATGTGTGTCCCTATACATATTCTAGTGTGCTCTTCTGATATCATGAATTACAAAAACAAACCTGTGCAGATAGTTGATACACTATACACCCAGTCTAATAATTCTTGAATAGGACTTTTGGCAAAATGAGGCTTTATTGGAGTAGTATCATACCTACTTTCTGCACTAGAAAAGGTTAAATCATGCATACTCTGTGTACCATTGACATAGTTTATAATGCTGTTGCTGTTCTTGATGCATTGGGCAAAATGATAATCCATAGAATAGAATGACCATAAACTTAATAATTAACCTTGAACTTGTTTCTTGAATTGTGAGCAAACCTGTTTGATATCACAATCACAACAAGTGACTTTAATACAGTAATACCTCGACTTACGCTACCCTGACTTACGCTACCCTGACTTACGCAAACCCGGAGTTATGCGATTTTCAAATCTCGTTGATTCGTCTTTTGTTTGAGCGCCACACAGCTCTTGATTACTCACTCCTCCCCACACTGTTGTTCAGCTTACATGCTCGGACGTGTCACGCAGAATTGACACATGGCTACAATTTATTTTGTGTTAATTATTTCTGTGTTTGTTATATCTACAGAGGTTCGAGAGACACTATGTGGTGATTTCTTGTAACCGTGAACGAATCAAAAGACGAGATAAGATTAACGAGAACATTTATTAGCTTACATACATCCGACTTGGATTTTATACAAATTGTGAAATTATACCCTTGACTTACGCGGTTATCACTCGGTCCCACATATCGCGTAAGTTCGGAGTATTACTGTATTTTAGATTTTAAAAGAAAGAAATTTACAGTTTATATTGATTTTAACTCCAGATAACTTATAGATTGACTTTTAACTTGCAGGTTTGTCAGCAACTGAATTTTTGTGTATAAAATTGCCATTGAGTGATGAGCCTCATTTCATATTATTTTTAATGTATGAATTTCCAACACATTCAGCTTAATCCCTTAATGTAGGCTTTTCTTGAAAGAAACATACAATATTGCAGTGTTTTGCTAGAAGCAGAACATGCCATAATGCACATTTTGCTTGATGGATACCATACAAAAACAGCAGTTAAATATTTTATCTGTGAAATTGTTAATGGAACATTAATTGCAGAGAGATTTTACATGGATGAGGCCAAACAAGAAAGGAGTTAATCAAAAACAATTTTATCTTTTTTTGCATCAGTACACAATGATTAAAGCTGATTGTTGAATTCATGTATATTACTTATATATATTAATATAGTGCATGTCAATATACGCAATAAGTCTGCTTGCCATATTCAATTTTACATAACGTACATTGAATTTTTGTAATAAATTTTGTAACTAGCTTGTAACTTGTAAACCTTTTAACAGTAAGTCTGCTTACGAAAGTAGAATTATTACAAATATGAAAAATAACTGTTCTTTTATACAATTATGATTTTTGTGAGATTATTTTTCATTTATTTATTAGTTTATTTGAGCATGTGCATTATGTAACATTGAATCTGGTGCTGCTCTAGTTATCTTGGAGCCCATGCATTTCTGCCAGTGTTATCAGTCTGAGTTATCTTAGGTCTGCATTGTGAGGTTAAAGGAAAATACAGATAGGAGCAAACACCTTTCTGTGAAACTTGATTCATAGGCTAACTTTTTCAGCTAATAATATTGAAGCAGATAATTTAATATTGAAATTTATAAAAAAACAAAACTGTATAGCAAGAATTGTTAAACCTAAATTTTTAGATTTAAATCCCACTTTAAATCATTTTATGTCTCTGAAATGCAAAGATTATTGTGCTGCCTAAAGAAAATATTGCCATATAACAAGCAGAAAATTTTAATACAGTTAATTTAGCCAATTAAGTCAGAGAAAAATTTTGTACTATAATGATGGTATTTTTATGAGAAGGCTACTCTTGCTAACTCATGTATATATAAAAGCTTTTCACTCTGAATATCCCTATTATATTTCTTATAGATTGGTGTGATATTTCCTTGAATTTAAAATAAATAAATTGATGATAAAATATCAAATTTGATCATGTGAATTATTGAAAATTATTTAAGGAATATTAAAAATATTTTTAGGATCGTATTGATGGAGCCGTTATTCAAGCCAACAAATTTGTCGAACATGGGCATTTTGATGCAGAATCAATTTCAGTAAAACAACATGCTCTTGTTGAACGATACAATGGTCTTCAACAACCAATGACTACACGCCATCAGAAACTTAATGATTCTCTTCGTGTACAACAGTTATACAGAGATATAGAAGATGAAGAAGCCTGGATTAGAGAAAAGGAACCAATAGCTGCATCTACAAATAGAGGTACAGATAATTAATTAGAAACCTTATTTTTATAAGCTTAAATAGCTTAGCAGATTATTAATGCATTTACAGTTTTTGAACATAATTCAAAGTTGTTCTAAAACCTAAACAAATTTTCCCATAAACGATATAAAATGGATTAATCCATTCCTGACCTCTAAAATAAAGCCTTTTTTTTTATTATTTACTTTTTTAGCTGTATTTCAGGCTTAAAAATGTCTACAAATGCAATGTAATATTATAACATACAAACTGAATAAAGTTATAAATAAGAAAGACAGTTTCATTCATCCTAACCTTTAAACATGAATTCTTGGATGCTATTTATATTATGTGAATGTCAATTAAAGCAGTTTTTAGTAATTACCGTATTTACTCAGATATAAGACAATCTCGCATATAGGACGAGGTGCAACTTTAAAGATCAAAATAAAGAAAATTAGATTTAGTAATACAATTCTAATTTTATTTCGTTTAATCACAAATAAAATATCAAATGCATGTAAATGCACACATTGTCCTGCAAAAATTACTGGCAATTTGAACTTCTAGTAAAAATCTTGTAAAATCGACAACATAATTTGTTCGTGTAAAGCTGGACAATTATTGGGAACCTTTTTTGCCAGTTCTTAACAGTCGAATTCACTCTTTGTCGATTACACTTACGAGTTTCTCTGAATTATGATTTCCAAATAATCATCTGTTTTTATGTAGGAATGAATTAAAACTTATATTGGGCTTCCGTGTAATTTTGGAATTCAATTCAAAAGCTTTGCTTTTCCTATTGCTATGCATCTTTACTCCTGATAATGCACAAGAACGATTTAAACGACCCAGATAAAGTACTTTCGTTTTTAAACACCAGAAGGTGAGAATCCAGTAAAAAATGCGAATACACAGTTTACAAAAATTATTGCAAAAATGAAATGAATTCTTTGCTCATGTATAGGACAACCTAGGTTATTGAAGCAGTGAAAAATGAATAAAAACCTTGTCTTATATGTAAATAAATACAGTAATTTGATTTAAATTCAACTGCAGTATGTACCTAAAAATGGAAGTAGTATTTTTTGCACATCATGCACATCAAAATCTAATTTAAATAGCATCATCATTAATGATTTATGTTGTGATGTCTAATGACACAAGGAAATCTTGTCCCCATTAACTTTTGAATCAGTAGTTCTGTGGTTGATGGTCAGGTTGTTGACTTTCTTTAACATAGGAAGTATAGGGAGTTGACTGTGTGTCTAATCTGTAGCTGGCATTTGCCATTTAGCTTTTTTTGACAATGGAGTTGTCATATGGCAACCGGTACAATTATGAGTTTGAAATTCTGTTCATGAACCAATTTGTTCAAAAAGTGAGCCATTCAAAGCCCAAGGTTTAACTGTATTAATTTTTATTTATAAGTTACTTGAAAATGATAATGAGAATATTACATTTAATTAAACTAATGTCATTTAAAAATTTATATTATTATTTTTCTGTTTCATTGTTCATTTTTGAAAGTAAGAAAGGGTTAAATATAAAATGCTGTTATTGTATAATGTCTAATAAAGTATTTTACTATAGTTTATATTTATTATATGTCAAATATATTATTATTTAACAGGACATTATTGCAAAAGGGTTAAACAATATAAATTTCATGAGTTTGTCTTTAGTGGTGCAATGCTGATTTCTAAAGTTGAGGGATTCCGAACATCTCAATGACTGTAATGACAAAATGATATTAAAATTGCCACCATAAATTTATAATTTTATAAAATATAAGAATATATTGCATTTTCATTGTGTATAAATAGTAGAATAGAGTAGTAAATGCAAATAAGTTACTGTATTGTAAATTATTTATTAATTCATATAAATGTTGTATTATGCTAACTTATAGTTTTGTTCAGTGCACGTAGCTATACCAGAAATATCCAGCACAAATTATACTTACTAAAAATAATGAANGTTAAATTATATTTTGTAGATTTATTAATAATAAAATAATTTTATGTTAATTAAAATATTTTATGGAATTTTTTTAAAGGTCATTTTGCTGCAGATGAAATTCATAAGAGAGTTCAGGGCTTAAATGATAAGTGGCAACAATTAAAGGTAAATCACAATGACAGTAATTAATTTGGATTATTTTGTTTGAATATTTAAGGTAACATGGAATTAAATTAAATGTTGTTGATGAATATTAATTCCACTTATAATTTTTATGGTTATAGCTAGTTTTATATAGATATAAATAATGAATTGTTTTTATAAACTAGCTGACATCTAAAATTTGCCTCAAAATTCACTAGATTTTCATTTAGTATCATTACTTTTTAAATCCTAGATTAATTATATTGTTAGGTTAAATGTGATAAACTTAATTGGAATAAAACTATTTCATAATTAGAAAATATTAACACACTGTTCTGAAATTTTGCATGAATTATATTTACTTAATAAAAATTCATGAAATAGTTTGTACAATTATGCACAACTGTGCAATTTTCCATAATATAAACAGTTCGTAAACATAGATCTGGCCATTGTAATTATATATATATATATGACCCAAAAGTTAGTTAACGAAGAGATATTTTTAGATTATTTTAAAACACAGTAGCATGTTATTGTTTATAATTATTGATAATCAAATTAACACGCAGTTGTTAGACTGGTTCTAAACATTCTTAAAATATCTTAGTTAACTGATGTTTGGACCATCTTCTATAATAAACCCTGTGTTAGTGCAGTGAATTTTTTTTGGCATTAATGCAGTGGGGTGTTTGTCCACCCCAACTTTTATTTTTGTCAATGAAGCATGTAAGTAAAAATGCATGAAGTTTTATTCATTAATTTGGTAAAGGCCTGTCTCATTATACATATGATTATATTCAAGTATGATTACATATTACATTAGTACATAAATTCATGAAAATAAAAAACAACATTTATCAAAACTCATTACATTAAATCTTATTATAAAACCAATAGTAAAAATCTAAATTGTTTTTTTTCAAGCATTTTTTCGCTCTGATTCATTAGCTGACATTGTACTTTGGCACTCAATGCAAATGACAAGCAGCTTGCTATGTTTAGTATTTTCTCAGTGTGTTTATCAAAGTCAGCCATTTTGAATTTGTAAGGGAATAAAACTAATTAAAATAAACTTAAATTATTTTTATTCACATTTATTAATTTATCTATATTATAAATAATAAATGTGGTCACATTATTTTAAAAATAAAAAAAGCTAAATAAATATTTATAAAATTTAAAAATTTTACTGTGGGGTGTTTGGACACAACAATGAGAATTGTTGTCTATCAGAAATTACTATGGTGTTGCAAACTCCAGTAAGAGAACTTACTGGAGTTTGCAACACCATAGTAATTTCTGATCATGCTCTATACATAAAATCATGAAGCTACTGAAGAGAAAACAAATATTTATTGTGAAATCTATGAATAGTGCAACTTTTAAAACGTGGGGGTGTTGAAAATCATCACTGCACTAACCTAGAGTAAAAGACAACTTTCTCTATTTCATGGTCCATGGCAAGTCATGTTCTTAAGGCATGTTTGAGTGGCCCAAATAGATGATAGTTCAAAAGGCTATGGTCCAAACTATACAGATGATGCTCTGTGTCAAATACAATTGTTGAAAGATTTGATTGATGGAGTCAGCAGTATGAAAACACCTTTTAACAGTAATCCTTAGCATTTTCTTTAAGTTGCAGGTTTTAATTTGTCATACCACTTTTATAAAAAAAAAAAAATTTAGTTATTTATATAATTAATCAAAAAATTAAGGAATTATTACAATATATATTACATAATTTACAATTTTAATTTAATAATATCATTTTAAACTGAAAATCGTTTAATTTAAAATTGAAATATCTTCCCATGAATAGAACAAATTGATAAAATTACATGAAAATATGAAACTGACACATTTTAAAATTAAATTTAAGATGTTCATTCTGTTAATGAAGTTATATTAAGTTTTTTTGTTTGTTCTGTTTAATATTAGGATAAAGCTTTACAAAGAAAACAAGATTTAGAAGATTCTCTTCAAGCACATCAGTATTTTGCTGATGCCAATGAGGCTGAATCATGGATGAAAGAAAAGGAACCTATTGTTGGTAGTCAAGATTATGGTAAAGATGAAGATTCTGCTGAAGTAAGAATTTTATAATGTTAAATTTAAAAAAAATTATTACCAGTTAAATTGCTTTGAAGTTAGAAAGCAAAAATAATGACTTGTTCAACAGTCAGAACTTAACTGTTCAGAATTGGTTTATTTTTTTAGTCATTAACATTTTATTTTATATAACTACTAGTTGTGGTAGCTAGCTTCTTTCAGGAAAATGATATATTAAGTAAAATTAATGTAACCGAAAATCACAATACACATAGTTTGGCTCATTTGAACAAATTTTTTTGACATATCAGCAACCTTTATTTGTCATGACATGACTATAGCAGAGAAATATGAGAATTCAGTTTTGGATTTTTTGCTCAAAATCACATCGATGAATCAATCTGTGATAAAACCAGTTATCAAAGACTATCCTGAATATATGTACAAAGTTTTTTAGGAATTGATTCTCATGAGACATTTGAACATATAAACATGAATTCAATTTTATGTATATAGATTAAATATTATCAGTTAAGTGAATAATTTTTCCAAAGAATTCTATGTTAAATTTGCAAACATTAAATATTTTGTCATATATTATGATGATTAATTGATTAAAAAAAATTCATGTAGAAAATAGAGTAATGTATTACTCTAATAAAGAAATTTAAAAGTTATTGATATGTTCTAATTAATATAGAGAGAAATTTATCAAGAAACATTTAAAATTTATATTATTGTGATATGAAATGATGCATAGAAAATTTAAAATTGAAAAGCAAAACATTTATCAATTAGGCAACTAATTATAGTTAATAAATTTTGTTTTCATTTTTGTGTAAACAATATTAGATTTTTTTTTAATTTGTAAAGGCAAATGTGTTTCTCAGGCTATAAATATGTAAAATTATAGTTTATTATATAAAATTTTCATTTTCTATTAGGCTTTATTAAAGAAACATGAAGCGTTAATGGCCGATCTTGAAGCCTTTGGTAATACTATTCGTAGTTTACGTGATCAAGCTCAGTCATGCAGGGTAGGTTAGCGTGATAACATGGCATTTATAATTTGTTAAATAAAAATCTTGAATTATATTTCTAAGTGTTACATTAATATTTACAGCAACAAGAAGCTCCAGTAATTGATCATGCAGGTAAAGAATTTGTTATGGCTCTGTATGATTACACCGAAACCAGTCCACGAGAAGTATCCATGAAGAAAGGTGACGTTTTGAGTCTCCTTAATAGCAATAACAAAGTAAGTGGAAATAACTATTAAAATAAAATAGAATATGTTTTTATATACAACTGTTTTAAAATTAAAAAAAATATATTTTATGTAATTAAATATCTCTGCTTTTTGTATGTGCAAATATTCATAGTAGACACAATGTTATTAAGAATTCAATTTGTGATTCAAGAACATTTAAGTATATTGGCTTAAAACAGTGATTTAAATGCCAATCTTAGACATATAAATATGTTTTACACAATTATTTTTAATAATTAACATATATAGAAAGAGTATTATTTCTTCATAGAATTAAAAACTGAACCAATTTTCATTGTCTTCATGCAATTGAAATTTAGTTTTAGATAAGATGTTTTACTGAGAAATCTAATTTCAACATTACTTGCACTGACTATTAATTTGTTGTTAGTTTTATTGCTTTATCAACATACTAATTAAGCGTGAACTTCATCAAATTTCAAAAGTACATCAGAATTTGTATTTAAAAAATTTTACTAGACAAAATATTATTAAATTAACAAGATATATAACAACACAGTCTCATCAAAATTACATAAAATTATATTATATACAAAGTGATATTTCAAATTTGTTTTGTTAATTTAAATTTACAATATTTTAGGATTGGTGGAAAGTAGAAGTAAATGACCGCCAGGGATTTGTTCCGGCTGCTTATGTAAAGAAAATTGAAGCTGGTCTTTCTGCCAGTCAACAACATCTTGCTGATACAAACAGTATATCTGCTCGACAAGCTCAGATTGAAGCACAGTATGAAAATCTTCTTGCACTTGGAGGCGAAAGACGTAACAAATTGGAAGAATCTTGTAAAGCTTATCAACTCGTTCGCGAAGCTGCTGAATTAACACAATGGGTTAAAGATAAGGTTAATAAAATTTATATTGTTGTGCTTATTTACTTAAGAAATTATTCTCAAATATCAAGGCAGTTTAAAAACTTAACTTGAATTTATGACCAAATAATTAATATATTTATTTTATATAACTTTAAAGCTTGTAAATAATTTAAATTTTTTTACAATGAAGTATTGAAAAATTTATATTATTTACAAGTTTGTGTATCTTTTATATGCTGTAACCATGGGCATTTGCTAAAATGTTCTCAAGTAGGGCAAAGGGATATACTACTATGACTCTAGAATTCTAGGAAGACAAACTATAGTGTACCAATTACCTGTTACTGTATTCTGTTCTTCAAGCTTAATTGCTTTCAGCAGTCCAGTGCTATGGAAAAAACAACAAACATCCTTTTTTATTGCTCTCTGCCTTTTCACAGTTTGAATTGGATCCATACACAGTTCTTTTGATGTGTGGGACAGTCATAAAATGTATATGTCTCATCATCAGTGGCAATGTTGAAAATAATCTGATGTTCATCTTGGTTCAACATTTTCAAAGTTTACTTAGAGATCCTGACACACTCTGACTTTTGGAAAACTGTAATTGATGAGGTATCCACTGAGACATTATTTTTTTTTAACTAACTTCTTACATAGAATGTCTGTAACTGCAGAGGCTCCAATCTATAGTCTCTCCTGTATCATTTCATAGGTACTGTACAGTACATCTTTGGTCTTCTGCAATTATACATTGGACTGGACAACAGTTACATTTTTAGGAGTCACTGCTGTTTGTGGTCACCCTTCACATGGTTCATTGTAAAAGGAAGTATGACCCCTTTGAAATTCTTTGTACCATCTGAGCACAGTAGTAAAAGATGGGTCATTATTCCAAAAGCCAATTTCAATTGTTCATAACAGTCTGTCATTCATACCAACATAAAAATCATAATAAGTGATTACACAAAGTGCTTCTCTAGAAAGTTCAATTGTTACTATAGAAACAGGGCCTGTCTCTCTCAGAGTAAGGGAGATTGATAAAATTTCTTTATGCATAATGTGTCATATAGCACAAAAATGCACTTTAATTCATTGTGGATGGTTTTCTTGTATTGCAAAATTTTCACATTAACCCTCGTATTATAATTATTACTTAAATCAGGTTAACTGAGCATATAACAAATAATTTGCATTATTACTGAGTAAGGCAGGGAATAGAATTTTCCAACACTACTTAAGGAAATTAATTATAAGGTTTCAGCTTTCAAACCTCCTTGCCCTCAATTAGAAGGCCAGATCCAGTGAGAGAAAATGATCTGTTTGCCCCCAGTGGATTCCCATGGCTGTAATGATGAAATTTTTTCTTGTGATATAAAACTCATAAATTTTGGATATGAACTGCTAAAAGTAATTTAAACAAATAATAATAATAAAGAAACCAATAATAAAATTACTGATATTTCAGAGTAGAATAATAAATTTTTTTTATAGGAACAAATAGCTGAAGTTCAAGAAGTTGGAGAAGACTTGGAACAAGTTGAAGTTATGCAGAAAAAGTTTGATGATTTTATGGCTGATTTGAAAACAAATGAAGTGAGACTTGCTGAAATGAATGAAATTGCTACTCAAGTTATGAGTCTTGGACAAACTGAAGCTGCTATTAAAATTCAGACTCAAATTGAAGTAATGATTCCTTTATTTTTTACTAATTTTCTATTATATAAAATTAATGAATATATTATCTTTGCCAATCTTAAATGTGTCATAATTCTTATTTGTTGCTTAAACACTATGTAGTGTAATTAATCGATCACTTGGCATTCCTTCATCTTTTTACTTCCAAATCAGTTGAAACTGATCAACTGATTTGGAAGTAAAAAGATGAAGGAATGCCAAGTGGTCGATTAATTACACTACATCGATGGTTCCCAATTAGTGGTACGCAAAATTGCGTGAAGGGATATGCGCGGCAATCTAAAATCGGTCAATTTAAAATTTAAATGCATGAGATGAAGCAATCAAAAAAATAATGGGTGGACCATCAAAACTTCGGCAATTTGCAACATGATGTGGAATGATGTGGAATTCGTTTATTTATAACTAAAAATATTCTTGAAATTTCATCAAAAAAATGCATTTGTGACAATACTAAATGAAATTCTTGCGCAAGAAACAAAAATTGTACAATTAACATTATTATCATGTCAGTGAAGCGGCAATAAAATATTTACTACCATTTTGCACATACCTCTGCAAGAGCTGATTTTCGGCCATGAAAAACATGAAAACTAAACATCGTCACCGACTTCAACTCGAAGATGACTCGAGACTGAAGTTGACCAAAAAGCAACCAGATTTTACAAAGTTGTGCAAAGAAAATCGTGCACATTTGTCACATTAAAATTAAATAACCATATGTTATTTTCATTATTATTAGAATTCTATTTTAAATGTAATAAATATAAAAAAAACTTATTCTATTTATCACTTGCTGTCTACCCACAGCTTCGCCCACATTATATAGAATTTTCTCATGGGAGTAAGATATTTTCTCGCAGTAAAATGTAGCCTATGTCCATCTCCAACATGTAAGCTATCTCTGTGCCAAATTTTATTAAAACCTGTTCAGCAGTTTAGACGTGAAAAGGTAACAGACAAACAGAATTACCTTCAAATTTATAATAGTATGGATTAATATGAATTTCTGCTATAAGGGGTACGCAAGTTTGAGCTTGTTCTTGAAGAAGTACGCAGGAAAAACTAATTGGAAACCACTGCACTACATAGTGTTTAAGCAACAAATAAGAATATATTATCAATTCTCATCATTAATTAAAATTTTCTTTTGTATTTTAAAATAATGACTTATGGACTGTTTAAAGTTCTTTACTCTACATGGCTTTTTTTTTTTATTATTATTATGTTTTTGAATTTAATATTCGTAGTTGTTCTTTTTCTCAATATAACTTAATAATTTACAGTAGACTCCCCATAACACTGTAGATAATTCCGTGTTATGTGAATTCCATGTTGTATGAGCTACTTAGATTTTACAAATATGTGCGCCAGGCTGTGAATGGCTCATGTATTTGTAAAATCTAAGTGACTCGTACAACATGGAATTCATATAATACGTAATTATCTACAGTGTTATAGAGGGGGTCTACTGTACTTATTTTAGTCAATAACTTTAATTCCAAAAAATAAAACAGTAAAAATTTAATTAGAACAAAAACAGAATAATCATCATAAAATTTAAGATTTTAATACTCATTAATGTTAAATTAATTTTTGAAAGACAAACAACAAAGTTCTGATTTATACAGTCAACAAGCCAGATTGTAATATTAATTCAAATACCTAATTGATAGATTTATTTGGACTATGCCAAGGCTATTAGATCAATTTGAGTAATTTGGCCCAAAGGTAGGCAGTTGGGCTAACTGCCTACCTTTGGGCCAAATTACTCAGTTAAATTGATCTAATAGCCTTGGCATAGTCCAAATAAATCTATCAATTAGGTATTTGAATTAATATTACAATCTGGCTTGTATTACAACCTTCTTGTATTAATATTAATAATTAAGGATTCCAGAAATTTTAAATTATTTAATGTAAGAAAAAATGGTAGCCTAATCATCATTTTTAAGACATCATATTTAGTTAAATCAATTTAATATTAGCCTAAATGTAACTGAATAAATCAAGTAATTAGGTGTATGAATTAAAATTTGATTTATCCAATTACATTACTTATTCTGGAGTTTCTACAGTATATTTTTCAAATGGCGTGACAATTAGGCTTGAAGTTTCATAAAAATTATGTAATATAAGTAATCATAAAATGATTCAAAATGATAACTTAAGAATTAAATTATTTTTATAGTCTGACTTATTTATAATAGTTTTTATATAAAGGATAGTTATACAAAGAAAAATTCTATAATTTTGAGATAATTCTAAGAATTTGATGATAATGAAATAGATTTATCCATTGTTAGTTTCAGAAAATTAACATGAAAGTTTTATATAAAATTTTAATATAGTATTTTACTTTTTCAGGATTTAAATAGCAGATGGAAACAACTTGAACAAGTAACTACCGAAAGAGCAACTCAGCTAGGTTCCGCACACGAAGTGCAGCGATTCCATCGTGACGTTGATGAAACAAAGGATTGGATTCAAGAAAAGGATGAAGCATTAAATACCGAAGATTATGGTCAAGATTTGAGAAGTGTACAGACACTTCAACGAAAACATGAAGGTCTGGAACGTGATTTAGCTGCTTTGGGAGACAGAGTAAGTTATGTTTTAGTTACATATGTATTATCTTATAATCTTGCCTCATCAGTTTACTTTAAGCTTTATAGCATACTATGAAGCTCAGAATGAATTCATGAAGTGAGCTCGGCTTGTTAACATTATGTAGCTCTTCATCCATTTCTCTTGAATTGTGCTCATCTCCATAATGCTGTTGAAGGATTCTAAGAATCATCAAACTTATTTTCCTTCCAACCTCCTGAATGTTTCAATGGAATATCATCAGCCCTGGATATTTATCACTACATCTTTTTAATAATTATCCTTTTCATTTCCTCATTGTTTACTGGTTGAACAAAGTCATAGTTTTCTAGAATATTTTTTTTTATCAATGCATATGTAAGAACTTCTTACTGAAGAGAAGTTTTAAAATATGTTTTACATTTTCATCTGTCAGGACTTCATTATTTTGATGCTGTACCATATCTTTTCTAACCTACTAATTTCTTCCTTTTTTCTTTTCTTGCTTCCAATTCTTCATTATAATCTTTGTAAACCTCTTTTGTCACCTTACTGTTTTCTTGGCTTTTTATAAAGTCTAAACTTGTGGGGTTATGAATTTCTTGACATCTGCCATTTCTTGAAGAGAGTTCTTCTTCAATGCTGTATGTATTTATTCAATTTCTATTTTCATGTCAATAAGAGTTTTCTCTTTGTGTCTTCTAAAGCTGCTGACAATTTTCCCAATGATCATTGTCATAGTTCTCCACTTTACTTCTATATTCACCTCTTCTTTTTCTTTAAATTGTTAGGCTGGTAATCTCCTGAAGTTAGTCTCTTTATGAAGGGTCTATTTTTAGATACACTGACAGTATTAAGCTTGGAAGACTCTGTAATGATACTGTTTAGAGAAAGTTTTAATAGCTTCTTTTTCAAAATGAGTGACCATAGTTTTTGATTTTAATATTATTTGTAATGTTCATTAAAATCTGAATTAATTTTGCTCTTCATTTCTGTAAAGTTATGCCCTATATCAGAATTTTATAGGCTTATGACAAGATGCATGCAAATTTTTTTACATGATCTATACTATTAGTAACATTGTATTACAATAATATTGTATATGCTAATGATATGCAAATTAGTAAAATATAGTTTTACCTCATATTTTTATTGGTCAAATTTAGTTTGAATGATTTTTATCATAAATATTATTTTACTTAGGGTTGCATAATGGCACTAGGCAGAAAACAGGAAAATGAAATTGTTACTGAAGCCCGAGGGCTGCATATTAGGTCCTTATGAACTGTGGATTGCTTATTAAACAATTGACTTAAATTTTGAATTTTTACAATACTTTTTTTTAATCCTTCCACAAAAATAATTTGAGAGTTTAGTTCCATATTTTAATTTTACTATATACTATATTTTACTATATTTTTTGGAACGTAACTACCGTATAACACGGTAGTTACGTTCCAAAAAATTGCCGTGTTATGCGAAACAAAGAACTAGTACGAAAAGGAGGGTTAGGTTCCAAAAATTAAAAAACATGCTACTATATTTTCATAATTAAGATAAATATCTTTATTAAAATTTTCTTAAGTGATACATATTAATATAAACAATGTTTTCTTTGTCATCACTAAAAGCACTATTAACCGAGAGCGTTTTATTTTTGGCAAGTTATCGTTATCCTCTGAGCATTTTTCTGCATTATTTTCAGATTCATGCTTTACCTTTTGCAAAAAGTGTATATAATTTTAGATTGCTTGCTTCTAGTTAAAAGATCTTTATAAATTTCCTTATATGGTGCTAAGCACTTATGGAATAAGAGAAAACATCTAGCAACACCAGAAGCAGAAGCGTCGAGATCTTGCAAAATTGAAACAATTTTCGCGAAGGACCATGTGTATGAAGACGAAAAAATTTACACACTGAAGTACTAATAGTTCACGAAAATAATAATTTTCATGAACTATTAGTACTTAAGTATGTAAAAATTTATTACATTTCATGTTGTACGAGGGTTTTACCCATTTCTCGAACCGTGTCAGAGTGAATCCATGCTATAAAAGTACCGTGTTATACGGGGGATGGTACCAATTCTCGAACCGTGTTAGAGCGAATCCGTGCTGTAGAAGTGCCATGTTATACGGGGGTTACCTGTAGTAGTATTAAATGGTGTAAGAAAATTTAATGTTCAATTTGTTTTCAGATTCGTCAATTAGATGATACTGCTAGTCGACTGATGCAAACTCACCCAGAAGCTGCCGAAACAATATACACAAAACAAAGTGAAATCAATGAAGAATGGACTCAACTGACTGCTAAAGCTAATGCACGCAAGGAGAAATTACTAGACTCTTACGATTTACAGAGATTTTTGGCAGATTATAGGTAACTTGGACTTTATTATAGAAGAAAAACATTAAATTTTTAATTGAAAAAGTTATTATTATAAATATATAGACTTAAACATATTTATGATTAAAGTTATTATACAAAATTTTTTAAGTTAAAATTAAAATTACTACAAATTTTTTTAGAGATTTGATGTCATGGATTAATACTATGATGAGTCTAGTTTCTTCTGATGAACTTGCAACTGATGTTACTGGTGCAGAAGCTTTATTAGAAAGACATCAAGTATTTATTTTTCATAATTATTTCAATATAATGCTTGATATTTTTAATGCAGATGTTTTATTTAGTTCATTATTTATGTGAATTTATTAGGAACATCGCACAGAAATAGATGCTAGGTCTGCCACGTTTCAGTCGTTTGATTTATTTGGCCAACAGTTATTGAGAAGTGGACATTATGCAATTGTTGAAGTTCAGGAGAAATTAGAAAAAATGAAAGAAGCCCGGGAAGAACTTGAAAAGTAAAAGAAATTTATAATATTTATATATATTTAAGATAGTGTAATGTTATTTAAATAAGAGCATGTAAATTTATAAACACTTTTTAAATATATATTTTGTTTATAATACAGTATAAGAATTTATACTTTTACAATGAGCAAATAGCTGAAAAATATGTTAATTTTTCAGCTATCTTATGATGATGATGCTTGCTCAAAATAGAAGCTCTCATTGATTGACTAAATAATGCATAATTTTGTGAATTATTACATATTTAATTTAGAATTAAATGACATTTTATTGCAAGGATAATATAACTAATCACTGAACTTTATAAATTTGGAAAACTCTTATATGAGAGTATAAATTCAAAACACTTGTTGATATAAATCTGATAACTTCAAAAAAAAATTTAAAAATTTGAAAAAATTAATTAAAACTGATATATTCACTATTCAAAAATTTTTTTCAAATATTATTTAAAACTAAGTGCATTATTTAGAAAATTTATATTGTATCATGTTGAATGAAAGTTTATCTATTAAATTCCAACTGCATGTTAAAGTTGAAGTTTTGTAATCTTCAAAATCTAAATTTAGTCTAAATTGAATGTTTATTTATTGTAAAGAATTGAATATTTTAAATATACCAAAATATACTATATAAATGTTTAGTCCAAACTAAAAATTTTGGTGCCAAATCTGAACCTGTTAGATCCAATTTGTCACCACTTGTCTGAACTGATTCTGATAGAGGCTTATCAGAATCTTTTGACTCATTCTTGGTTTTAATTTTTATCCTTTAATATACAATTGTGATTACAATTGCTTTGTTTGATATTTCGTCCATTAATCCTACAAATTTTGTGGCATCTTCAAAAACTTTCTGGCACCCTTCTGGGGTTACATTCCTTCTCCAACACTTTCCAAAATCCAACAGTAGTTGTTGACTTGCAATGTTCAAAATTGTTTTAAAAATCCAAGCCATAGAAATCCATCATCAGACTGTTGTCACATGATTTAACAGCAATTTGGGTATGTAATTGATTCCAGATTTTTTTTTTTTTGGTTCCTTTAAATACTGTGTAGTCAAAATGTGACTGAATGCTTGATCATGGTGAAAAGTGACTTTAGTTAATTTCCTATGCTACAATTTTGGTATTTCAGTTTCTACATATGGTTTTAAAATATAGTTAATGTAGCAGTTTGCATTAACTTTGGTTACTTTACGAGAAGGATTCCACATCTTGGACACTTTACGAGAAGGATTCCACATCTGGTCATTTTTCTTACAACCATAAACAGTCAGGTTAACTTTCATTGCAGTAAATCAGCCAATCTTCTCAAACCTGTTGCCCACATTTAACAGCAAATCTTTCTTACAAGTTTGCATTCTTTCTTGTTTAACACCTTAAGTTCCCAGCAATTTTTGATATTAATGTAATTAAACATAAAAAATACTTAAAACTGAAAAAAAAATGAAAGAAATGTGTTAATTTTGAAGAAAAAGCTTCAAACTTTATTTTCCTTTGTCTCCCCTTTCTGAGAAATTTGACACGATGAGTCATTGTTTACACAGCTGGATGACCTTGAACACAGCTGGAGTCGGATTTCCCGGGACATTCTCATAGAAGTCTCAGGAGGACAAGGGTTTAAAGTAGGGTGAGTTCTAGCTGGCTGTATATTTTTAAAAAATTCAAATTTTAATTGCGATTTCCGACCCCCCAACTTAATTAAACGTGTATATAATAAAATCTATTAATTAAAAAAATTAAAAAACTATCGGAGGTGGTTTTTGACATCAGAAAGAAGCTTTTAAATAACTTTACCGAAGGAAAATCCATGCGCTATAACTTAGGAACCATGAAATAAATTTGATAAAAAACTTCCATTAAAAAACAATTAAGCCTTAATCGAGCCTTATCAAAGGCTCATTAAAATCGCGATAAAATATTTTTGCGCAGGTAAAAATTTTTGAAAAAATTTGGAGTGGAGACTTAAAAAACATTCCAAAAATTAAAAGAAAACAAAAATTTTTTTGGGGGCCGAAAGGACTGAGTTTTATGTAAGGCTAGTAACATACCTGAGTTAACTCGGGCGAAGAACTAAAGGGTAAAGGTCCAAGTCTATGTATGATAGCTTGAGAAATTCCACAATGCTTAGCAACTTTATTTTGGCTAATATGGTTACATCCCTTCACCAGTTTCTTCACCTTTTGTGATATTTGGCTTAGTATGGGCTGTCTGAAGCTTAATTCGAAAGTGAACATTTTTACTATTTCTTTAAGCTTAATATTTCTTCTCTTTGCATAAGGTTACCTCAGCAATGACCCTCTGAATTTTAAAATAGCCTGAAGTGTTTGACTCAGAAGATTCTGTATTAGATGATATTAACATTATAGTGAGGTCTGTAATGGGAAAAAAATAGATTATACAGACTATAATATACTCATATTTCATGCTAATAGTATTATTAGAAAGTAATTTGCAGTATTTTGACTTGAGATCATATAATTTCTGTATGTCTTCATTATTTGCTAAATATTTTTGAATTTCACAAAAAATTCTATAAATTTGTGTAATTATGCTTTATCTTGTATACATGATACTTATAAAATCATCACAATATAGTGCCTGGGTCGCTAGAAGAATGAAATTAGACCAGTGTTTGGAACTGCAACTGTTCTATCGAGACTGTGAACAGGCCGAAAATTGGATGGCCAGCCGAGAAGCTTTCTTGAGTTCCGACGACATGGGTGGCGATAATGTCGAAGCTCTGATTAAAAAGCATGAAGATTTTGATAAAGCAATCAATGCACAAGTATAAATTTATATAAATGTATTAATAATAAAATTTTTAATTATTTATGATTGATAAACATTTTGATTTTCAGGAAGAAAAAATTGCTTCTCTTACTGCTTTAGCTGATCAGTTAATTGCTTCTGATCATTATGCTTATGATGCAATTAAAGACAAAAAAGAGCAAGTGTTAGATAGGTAAGTAGATATTTTAAAGTTTTATTATTATTCTGAACATCAGTCTTGTAAGTAATTTAAAAAATTAATAAGAATATAAAAATAATTAATTAAAATCTGACCAAAATTGTCTTTTATTTATAAAGATGGCGTCACCTAAAAGAGGCTTTGATTGAAAAGCGTTCCAAGTTAGGGGAAAGTCAAACGCTGCAACAGTTTAGTAGGGATGCTGATGAAATTGAAAATTGGATTGCAGAAAAATTGCAAATGGCAACAGATGAATCTTATAAAGATCCAGCTAATATACAAGTATTAATCTTTTAATTGCATATTTCAGTTAAATAATATAACTTATCTGTTATCTACATAATTAAGTAAATTTCAATTCTACCTTTTAATTATGTAATTAAATATAACATTAGCATATTTAACAAGTATGTGGTAAATATTTTAATGTATCGTCATTTCGTGGATAAAATAATTCATGTGTTTTGAATAGATTCGCTGATAGCTATTTTCTCATATTATTTTGAATTGTCTGGATTTTAGGATTAATAATTCTTTATTATTTCTGCACACCAATACAAATAATAAATGTAACAAATATAAACTAAAATTAATGTACAGTACTTAATTATATTCATAATTAATAGAAAAATATATATAAGAATGTAATTATGCTAGATTTCAAGTCACATTAGAAACTAAAACATCTTTCTGCAGATCTATTTGAAACTTTTGAAATTAGAGTTAAAATAATCTAACAATTTATCACATACATTTTTTAAATTGGGTCAAAATTACACACACACACAAATTACAAAAAATTTAAACATGTATTTGAATTTTTATTTTAGAGTAAACATCAGAAACATCAAGCCTTCGAAGCAGAATTGGCAGCAAATGCAGAAAGAATCCAGTCAGTAATTGCAATGGGAGAAAACTTAATTGACAAACACCAGTGCGCCGGGTCCGAAGATGCCGTGCAGACTCGTTTGGCATCCATAGCTGACCAATGGGAATATCTGACAAAGAAAACAAATGAAAAAAGCATGAAACTGAAGGAAGCAAATAAGCAAAGGACTTTCAATGCTGCTGTGAAGGATATTGACTTCTGGTTAGGAGAAGTGAGTATTAAAGTTTTTTGTCAGATTCTTTCTCTTATTGTTTTTTTATTTGCATATCACCATCACAACTGTTATATTCTTATGTTATATATATATATATATAAATCATTTGTGATATTATCATTATAGAAATCTTTTATTTCACCAAGAAACTTTTACATGAAGCATTATTTTTGTCAATTATTTATGGAAATTTTATTTTGAAAATGTCAAAATTCTCTCAAACTTTTCTTCTCAAATAAGTCATGCAATCCTAATGAATAAATTTTTAATTATTAACACATTTACTGTTAGTTGATATAATTCTGTGCATGTAAAGATCACATGGTGCAGAATCATGTCAACTTGCAGCAAATGTATTAAGTTTAATTTATTCAAATGCTGATTAAAAGAAAAATATTCTTAAATTTCTTCCATGTAGTCTATAAATTTTTATTTTTACAAATGTACAGTGGAACCTCGGTATACGTCTGCTTTAGAATACGTCCAATTCGGAATACGTCCTGTTTGGACGAAACAAATTTTGCTCGGTATACGACTTAATTCAATTATACGCGCCATCTATGAACAAGTAGCACTGCCGGTGTACTACACTAGACTAGACGTTTGCGGTGCTACGGTTTATAACTTTCTTAAATTTCTTCTGATTTTAATTTGTAAGTAACATTTTATTATTTTTATTAATTATGAATTGCAAAAGGGCAACAGAAAAATAAAAAAATGACTAGAATCACAACGGAACTGAAAAAAAGAGATTGTTGAGAAATATGAAGGTGGCACGCGTGTTCGAGATTTAACGAGATTTAACTGTTGCATTCCGTATTCCGAGAACGACGATATCGACAATCGTGAAAAATAAAGACATTATTAAATTTGCTAACGTTGCGAAAGGGGTTAAATCAATTTCTAAACAGAGATCGAAGACATTAGATCTTGTCGAGAAATTGCTTTTGCTTTGGATAACTGAAAAACAGTGTGCCTGCGACAGCGTANTGAAAAATCAAGCAGGAACTAGCCAGGAAAGCGAGGGGTTTAAAGCCAGCCATTTTTTTTACATGAGAACGGATTAATCATTTTTACATTACTTCTTATGGAAAAGGTTGGTTTGGTATACGTCCTATTCGGTATAAGTCCAAACACCAGGAACGGATTAAGGTCATATACCGAGGTTCCACTGTATTTTGTTTTTTTACATTTTTCAAATTATAAATAAGAAGTTTTGTCATTTATTTTCTAAAAGCTGATAATCTCAGAACATCTTAATAAATCAGTTTGCCTATGAAATTATTTTAATTCATATGATTCTTATCATAAATGTAAAAATGAAGAGAGATTTAGTAGAATTAAATAAATAAAAATTGTCAAATCATCCGTCGAACAAAGCGACAATACTAATACGTCACAGTATCCTTGTATAGTTTTGCAGTTAATTTTAGAAATCTAACACTAACACTAATTGAACACATTAGTGCTACGTTTCTAAAATTATCTGCAAAGCTATACAAGGTTAGAACAATGTATTAAAAATTGTTCAACAATGTATATGACATTTTCAACTAATGTAATAACAGATTTATACATAGGGTTTCTCTAATTACAATTGGGTGTTCAAATTGTTTAAATAATTTATACACTTATATGTACATATTATGACTTATTTGTAAGTTTATTTTTGTCACCATAATTTATAAGAATTAATGAAAAAGTATCCATAATATTGTCTTTCCCCTCTTAAAATTAAAAAGTTTTTCTATGGTTCAATGAATGAACTATTGTTAAGCCTAGAATCGAATTTTGAATGAAGTTTATAAGCAGACTAAACATATGGTTTGCAACCCATTTTCCACAAACCTGCCTTGAGTGTTCCACAAAAATAATTTTTTAATTTTTTTACAAATTTATTTTAACGTACTAAAATATATTACTTTATTTTTAGACAATTCCATGATTACTATTTTATTCAGTACAATGTTTATTTAGTATGCTTTATTGTTGAATAGAATAGTATACTTGGAATTACTTATTGATTTTTTTTAACATACTGATGCTAATGCTCCACAAAATAGAAAGTTTATGAATAATGTTCTGCAGCCTCAGGAAATTTGAGAACCATTGGACTAAACTAGCAAAAATTTTGATTATGCAATGCTATTAGCAAAAAGTGTACTCTTTGTAAGACAGCTGTTCTCTGAGTCTGGAAAGATAATTGTTAGATGGTTCAAAAGATGCTATGAATTATTGGAAGGTTTTGAAAACACTGACAGAAGGACAGGCTATGTGCTGTCTTAGCATGTCTACCATTTTACTGCTGTCACTGTGCTTAGCCACTCAATATATGTATTATTTTAACAGTTACATGGCTTTCAAAATATTTCATTCAGTTTAAAGATCTATAAAAAATATATTATTATGGATACTTTTTCATTGAACCTAATATATAATATTTATGAAGTATTCAAAATTTAACCACCATTAATATAAATAAAACACCTTACTAAATATAACTTCCTAGTTAATTAGTAATGTGCATGTTTCAATAATATAATTAATATGCATGTTTCGACATTTTCTGCCTGGTACTAACATTAGGTCGAGTCGCTGTTGAAATCTGAAGATTCCGGAAAAGATTTGGCTTCAGTTCAGAATCTCATTAAGAAACATCAACTGGTAGAAGCGGACGTTACCGCCCATGAGGACCGAATCAAAGACATGAATGGTCTGGCTGACAGTCTGGTCGACTCAGGCCAGTTCGATACCGCCACCATTCAAGAGAAACGTAATTCAATTAACGAACGCTACGAGCGCGTGAAAACGTTGGCCACATACAGACGTGCCAGACTCAGCGAAGCAAACACACTCCATCAATTTTTCAGAGATATAGCCGATGAAGAGTCATGGATCAAGTGAGAAAAATTTCAATATTTAATCCATTTGCTATTTAGACTTCATTTCTCTTTCTATTTATTCTACAAAAGTATAAGCAATACAAAAAAAATAACTTAATTTCAGTCATTGTCATTCTCCCAATATATTTCTATAACTCTCTCTCTCTTATAAAAGGTAGAAGTAAACAATTTTAATTGTCTAAATCTTCTTTTTATAAGAGAGGATGGTACAAGTATTTTATTGGTGTGTAAAATGAATATGCACATTTTTATAAATTACTGATGTAAAATTTTTCAGTGATCATAATTTATCTTTTAACACGTTATATTTTCTAATAGTCATATTAAAAAGAAAAAGATACTCATTCACAGATTATAAAAAAATAATTTCATGGATTCTCTTGTAATATTATGTACTTAAAAATAGCAAAAACAAAGATTCACCAAAGGTCTTTGTTATTTTTAATGTTGCCCACCCAGCTGATGGCTTGCGTAGATAGTAGAGGTAGAGACTGCTGTAAAAATGTGATAGCTCATGAACACTTAACACATTATTGTGTTAATTAATAGTGTTCATGGAGCTGCTATATTGATGTGGATGTGCATGTTGTATGCAAGCAATAAGCACAACACATGACATGACAATGCTCAACAAAAAACTGAATGTAAACAAATATTAAATTTTATTCTGCTTTTCCTTATAACAGTTTATGTATCTTAGTTTGGGTATGATTCACTTGTTTTTCTACTTCATCCATTGGTCAATTGCATGTGGAAGTTTTTTTTTTAATGCTACGTTTACTTTTAAACTTTTAAGTGGGGGCGGCAGAGAGTGACAGAGATGTTGCTCCCATATGGCCACATCCTTGGTATTTACATGAAAAATAAGTGATAAATTCAGTTAATATTACGTTTTTCACACATTTCACAAAATTAATAATAAATGGCTGAAGAAAAAATTAATGAATTTCCATCAAATATTGTTTTGATAAGCATCAAAATTCAGTTTTTAAATGATTTTTTTTACATATTTAATTTTAGTTCTGGTAAACATGTTAGATTCTTCAGAAAAAAAGAGAGAATAAATTATTTAAAAAATTAAAATTTCCAATAACTTAAGTATCAAATGGTCCCTTAGTAGTTTGATAAGTAATAATTTGATTTTACTGCATGATTAATTGTTCGTTAACAAAGATTATTACAATTGCTGAGAGACATCTAAAACTAGTTTTATTATATCCTGAAGTTAAAAATGCAAATTATAGATTTGAAGTAAATCAATAAACTTTTTAATTATAATTGCATCTGTTTTGATACAATAATTTCTAACTTTTTCATTTGCCTTAGGTAAATGTTTTTCTTGAGGTGATCTATTTACTGATGGTATTCTTGTATTATAACTACAACTAATTAACTTATCCTAAATGATAAAAATTAATAAAATCAAATGATTTGTAAAGTTACATATACAGTAGAGCGTCGTTTATCCGAAAGCTGTTATCCGAAACATCTGTTATCTGAAAGCATTCCAGTCGGCAAATTTAAATTTTCGCTAGTGCTGTAGTGCTGCAATCTTTGGCTATTTCTTGGGCTACTCAAATATTTTACGTTTTTGATACTAAATTAACATCTAAAGTATAATTTTTTATTGTTTTTATATTTTTCAATATATTTATTTTGTTTGTACAAAATAAAAAAATAATTTTTAACGATACAATAGTCTTCGTTAGGCTTAACATCGACGAAAATTCAATGCGAAGCAACACGCAATGGAGAAAAATTTCAACATGGGATAAATTAATATATTTTTTCGTACATGATTCGTTATCCGAAAAATAAGTTATCCAAACCACTCCAGTCCCCAATTGATTCAGATAAACGACACTCCACTGTAATTAAATTGATTTTTTTTTTAAATCTTAATTAATGTACATTAATATAGAATTTAGATTTTAATATACAGGTGGTCCATAAGTGACTGAATCTCAACAAGTGTTAAAACAGTCTTAAAATGTATCTTATTTAATTAAGTTTTGGACCATCCTGTATTATCCTGCGTAAATGCAGAGAAAGATTAGAAACTATAATTTATTTCTGTAATAATTAAATGTATTTATTGTATTATTTTTGATGAATCGTTGACAGGGAAAAGAAATTGTTGGTCAGTTCCGATGACTATGGACGTGATCTTACCGGCGTGAAGAACCTACGCAAGAAACACAAACGTCTGGAGGCTGAATTGTTATCTCACGAACCGGCCATTCAGGCGGTTCAGGAAGCTGGCCAAAAACTCATGGCGGAATCCAATCTTGGGGTTCCAGAAATCGAACAAAGATTGCAAGCACTGGAACAAGCCTGGCAAGAATTGAATCAGGTGCAGATTATTATTAAATTTGCTTCTTTATTATATAAATAAACTTGATTATGTTGATCTTAAAATGTTATAAAAATATTTTTTATCTATATATTCATTCTTTATATGCAGAGATATGTTTTCACATAGATACTTATACATAAAATGATAAAATAATTATTTATTTGATAATTTAAAAGTTAGTCATTTTGAATATGCATAGATGGATGACTGATGTTATAAAATATATTAGTAATTTTATCTAATCAGGATTTTGATATAACTAGCCTGGTGTTGCCCAAATAAAAAGTAAGAAAAACAAACATCATATTAAGAGTTTGGTTATTTTAGTCTATTATGGTCATGTTTATTATGAAGCATTAAGTAAATTATAATACAAGAAAGAAAATATAACAAAATGAAATAAAACATAACAAAAATCTACTTTGAAGAAAAATGAACTTTGCAGTTTCATTGGTTGGATAGATGGAAATCGACATTTTTCATCAGAAAATAATCAGACTTTCACTTGCACAAGAAAATAACATTAGGAGAAATTTGGATATCTCTAATTAAATCTAATAAACCATTTGTAGCCAAACATGAAACAGTAAGTCGACCAATCGATCAAATTTTATGAAAAAGGCAAAATATTTTAACTCTGCACCCTCAAAAACATATTTTGTGCTTGCCTGGTAACTTAGTATTAAACAATTTTCCTATTCAAATGCCACCATCCTGCCGGTCAGATAGGAAGGGGGCCTGTTGCAGGCAAGGGGTCGAAGTTAATTCAACCTAAATTAATCATTGACCTGTTCCTGGATGAATGTATAGTCCCCGAAAAGTATCATTGTATTTGCTGAAACCATATCAAAAATAGGAAGAAAGTTTATTATTTTATGAACATCTCATGTACTAAAGAATGTTTATGATACCAGGATTGAGATTTAGTGTCAGAAGTCAAACAATTAGCACTAATTTTACTTACAAGATAAATTGACTTCTGATTCCGAATTTTGCTCAGTCTTCAATTGTATGAGCATGTACAGATATGCTAAATACATTTATTGATGCTTTTAATAATAATTTTAAAAATGTGCATTTTTAAACATGTGAAAACTTTTTATTTTATTATAAATAATATAAATAACTAATTCAAAGTATATTTTATTTAAAGATGGCATCCGATCGTGGTCATAAACTGGAAGAATCCTTGGTTTACCAGAAATTTCTCGCCAGAGTCGAAGAAGAAGAAGCCTGGATATCTGAGAAGCAGCAGCTGCTTTCGGTGGAGGATTACGGCGATACCATGGCCGCAGTACAGGTATGAAAAATTGTCAGGACTAAAATTAATTTAAATGGACTATTATTTTCTACTTTTATTAAATTCATTGCTGAAGTTATAAAAGTGTAAATTTTTGTGAACTTTTTGTACCTGCTGATATGAGAGAAATTTAGTGAGGAGTGTGTACAGGAGCTCATTTTTGTGGCAACTTCCTCAACATCAGGACATTTATTCATACTTCCAACTGTTTTGCAAATCCTTCCAAGCTTTTATTGACAGTGTTTCATTGTTTTTATTTTTCTAGACCTTGCTCTTTAAGTTTGGTCACAGTTTCCACCAGGAACTTGTAGATATGGACTTAGAACATTTCACTCTGAAGGTCATGTTAGTAGTTTCTTTACAATCCTTACTTAATGCTTTAAGTTCAGGAATGTTGAAGTTTGATCAGTTACCACTGAAAACTGAAGGAAATATCACTATTGATGTTGGAAGCAATGGAAGATTGATATATTGCATTGATACAGATATAACAAGAATTTATTTCACTGGGATCTTCTTGAAATTTACTAGATATTCACTTGCAAGGCAAAATTCATCTCCAATTCTCTTACAGATTTGGTGAATTGCATGATCTACACAAGCGATGTTTCAAATACAAGATTTTACACTGTAAAAATGAAAGAAGCACGTAACTTGTCTCGTCTGTTACAAAAAGTTATATCTTGTCAAAAGCACCAATTGGCCACAGACTTAAGTCACACAGGTCTTCATTATAGTGTCAAGCTAGTTTTCTTGTATGGTGCAACTAGAATGTTAAGAATGTTTCTGTTTAGTTCACCTGTTGTTTTGTTTAGCACAATACATATAAGAAAATTCCCTATAATTTTTTAATTTTGTTTGTTTAGCTATACAAAGGTTTGATGTAGATCTTTCGATGTGTACTTTTTAGAGTAGGATGATGTAGCTTGAAGAATCGTATATCAGCTTGAATAAATCAGAGTAATATTGACATAAAATTGATTGATGAATGATTGCTTGAATGTAATTATTTTCATTAATGAATTCTCTGTTTTTCACTTTTGTTTTTCATGTGTGTCAATTTTTATGTCTCGGTGTATTTTCTAATGTTTTCATCTATGCTAACTATGATGTTACAAATCCCACACCTCTCAATTGATCCACCTGTAGCCATCTGATCTTTTCAATGTTTATTTTTTTATTTTTTATTTTTGCAATATCTATCAGCTTATCACTTGCCACTTTGAGTTATTCTTCTACATGGCCAGCGAAATTTAATGATTCGTGTCATAGAGTGCATTGCTGCTTGTACTTAGGTGACAGTTGTCATAGAGAAAAATAATCCCCTTGCTAAATGCCCCGAATGGTCACAGTAAGTGCAAATTTGGTTTATACCCAAGCACTGATAAATTTAAAACTCAGTGCTGCACATGAAATTTCTATCCCTAATTATAATAAAGACAATTAACATATAATAGTTTTGGTTATAGGATAAAAAAGGCAAAATTGCCTTTTAAATTGATAATTTAGCATTCATCTTTAACAAATGCACAAAGATTACCCGTATCATACCACTTAAAAATTGAAGCTTTTGGGCATGTATATTGTATATAGTATATATCTGCATTAGTTTGGTGGCTGTCTTAATTAATATTGCCTTTCAGCAGCAAATAAATTCAAATTCCTTTTGCTTAGAACTGTAATGGTTGTCATCAACTAATATAACTAATCAAATGCTAAATTTCTTAAATAAATAAATGTAAAATTGCATCTATTTTATTTTTGTAAAAAGCATTAAAAATAAGATTTTGAAAATGAATGAATGTTTAGTTTTCAAAAATATAAACATTACAGGGTCTACTAAAGAAACACGAGGCATTTGAGGCTGATTTTGCTGTCCATCGCGAACGCTGCACCGACATCACATCCGATGGCCAGCAGTTGATGAATGAGGGAAACCACCATTCCGAGAGCATCAACCAACGTCTGGTTCAGTTGCAGTCTCGTCTAGAATCCTTGGAAAGCAGTGCCGTGTGCAGAAAGGGAAAACTGATGGACAATTCTGCCTATCTTCAGTTTATGTGGAAGGCTGATGTTGTTGAGAGTTGGATCGGTAATTATTTTGAATTTTCAGTAGTTACCAAAGGGAATTGTATAATTTTAGAAAACAAATCGACCAATGTTTTTTATTTAAAGCCGACAAGGAGGTACATGTGAGATCGGAAGATTACGGACGGGATCTGTCGTCTGTGCAGACTCTTCTTACAAAACAAGTAAGTAATTTTGTTTAATTTTTTTATGAAATCAAATAAAACAAGATTTTCTTATACACAAGCTGTAGGAAATAATAATAATAGAAAACAGTAGTAATTTACACATTTAATTTATGTGATAGCATCATTGAAAGTAATTTAAAATTATTTTAAAAAGTGAACAAAACACTTTTTTTATTATATATGTTGTTGTATATACCAAACTTAAATAAATTGGTTTTTATTTTGTCAGTAGTTAATGTCTTTGTGCTAAATATTTAAAAATTGTTAATTAGTTATACATGTTATTAACTATATCTATGACAAGAAATATTAAATCTAGATGATCAATATAAGTAATGAAATTCCAAATTATAGAAAATTATTCAATTTGGTTTGAGTTTTATCCCATACTGGTATAGTGCATATTAGAAGTATCCAATAAAACTGAACATGATAAATTATAATTATCAACAATAGAAAATGTTAAAGGATGGCAAAATATTTTAAATTAAATAGAATAAATGTGTTTTAGAATTTGGCATAATTTCTTTGATATTTTAACATTATTTACTATTTTAATTTAAAAAGTTTTTAACAATTCTAATTTATTTATTTAATAGGAAACATTTGATGCGGGATTGGCTGCATTCGAACAGGAAGGAATTCAGAGCATAACTCAGTTGAAAGATCAATTGGTGACTGCACATCATGATCAGACTCCTGCTATTATTAAAAAACATGACGACGTAATGGAGAGGTAAATAAAATTTGGTCATGTATACAATATACTGGAAATATTAAAGCAGAAATTTAAACTTGAGAATTTTTCATTTGTTTTAATTTATATGCTTTAAATATCTGTGTTTAGAATTGTTAATAACAATAAATTTTCAGATGGCATAATTTGAGAGCTGCTTCTGAAGCACGAAAACAGAGATTGTTGCAAATGCAAGAGCAGTTTAAGCAGGTTAGTATCAGATCTAATAGCTTATTTTAACTATAAATCAATTATCTAATTAATTTTTTTTTGTCGTTTTAGATTGAAGATCTGTTTTTGACCTTTGCAAAGAAGGCCTCTGCTTTCAACAGTTGGTTTGAAAATGCTGAAGAAGATCTGACAGACCCTGTCAGATGTAATTCTATTGAAGAAATAAAGGTAATAAATAAATTTATTTTTTTAATAATCTCCTATACTATTTAGATCCATAATGCTAACATTTCATCTAACACAGTACTTATAATTAAAGTAATAGAGTCAAAACATTTCGGAGGCACACATGATAATCCTAAAAGATAAAAAAAATATATATGTATTATGTTAATTTAATTTTTACATTGCTTTTTACGTTTATAAGCAATTATCAAATTAATTTGGAAAAAATCATATCACAGTAATATTGTTAATATGATGTAACTTCCTGATATACCAAAATATTCTTGAAAAATGTTACAACAATTATTAATACAGAATCACAATTCACAGCCGGTAAAATAGCAGATTAGTTTAATGAAAGTGTATTGCTTCAATTCAAAGTTCAAATCTACAGATTAATTTTTCAACAAGTATATACAACAAATGGCAAGAGGACTGGGTCAAACAACTCAACACTAAACTACACACCATAAAACCAGAGTTAATAAAATTGTCAACCAGCCAACAGAGAAACTGGAAAGAAGAAATAGTACTTGCCTGACTGAGAACTGGACACACAACTAACACATAACTAATAATAAGAGATACCCAACCAATATGCCCAACTTGCCACCCCCACAAATCCAAGCAACCAATTAAGTTTACATTATACTCATAATTTTATAAATGCAAGTTAAATATAGAAAAAGGTAATCACAATAGAAGAAATACTAAAGTATTTTGTCAATTTGCATGGATTTAATGAATATTTGGTGGTATGTAATGAGTATTATTGGTCTAAATATTTATTTGTAACTGAACAAAATAAAAGAGAATGTTCATTAACATTGGCATTGCGCATTTATCTAAAGTAAAATTTTCTTCCAACAGGCACTGAGAGAAGCTCATGCACAATTCCAGGCCTCCCTGAGCTCTGCTCAGGCAGATTTCGAGGCCCTGGCTGCACTAGATCGTCAGATCAAGAGTTTCAATGTGGGTTCGAATCCTTACACTTGGTTCACAATGGAAGCTCTCGAAGACACCTGGAGAAACCTTCAGAAAATCATTCACGTAAGTATTACATACTTCACATACAATAAAAATAAAAATAATTGTTTAATGTAGAACTATTTTATACTTGTGGCCCAAAACTCCTTGACTTCTTCCAATGCGGCCCAGAGAAACAAAAAGGTTGGACACCCCTGTCTTAAAGCATTTTCAAGTTAATTTTTACACAGTGCTTCATTAGATTGGCTGGTTAGCTGAGGCATCAGCTTACTGCTTTTGGGATCTGGAATCAAATCCAGGCAAGCATATTGCATAGTTCATGCAATAAAACTGATGTGTCAACACCACCACATCAAAAGATCAGTGGGAACATTAAGTAAAGTGAGGCTATATTTATTGGATTTTATGAAAACAATATTTAGTGAAATTTGTTATGCAATAACATATCTATGCTTTCATCTCTTCTGAAAATATTTTTGAAGATATCTGTCAAATATAAGTATTGAAATATTATGACAGATAAAATAATGAAAAATTTCTCCAATTAACAGGAGAGAGATATTGAATTGACCAAGGAAGCCCAGCGTCAGGAAGAAAACGACCGTCTCCGAAGAGAGTTTGCCAAGCATGCAAATGCATTCCATCACTGGTTGACAGAGACAAGGTTACCAATTTAAATTTATAGTATCATTAAGATTTTGAAATTTCAAAGACAATTTTACAGTAATTAGACCTCATCTTTCTGATTTTCTAAGTAAACTCTATCTATTCAATGTGTTTTGAATAGATTCTCTTTTAAGATTATTAATGTAAATAAAAGTTTATTTAGAAAAATAATCATTATAAAAATATCTTTAATATTAAATTGTGCTAGTGTAGGATTTCTAGAGTATGCAAAGATGATTCAAATTCAGTAAATTCCATATGATTTTCATTAGGTTTGGCTATTCAATGCAATATTAGAATTTGTGCATTTTGTAATAATTCAGACATTAGTTAATAATATACTTATTGAAAAATGAAGCATTTAAATAATAATTACAACTACATCTGAAAATTTAATTCATTTTTTAATATAACTGGATCTTCTATGATGGAAGGAACAGGAACATTGGAACATGTCCACACGTAACTTTTTTGTAGGTTGAGGGAAAGTGTTCATTCAAAATATGGAGATTAGATTGTATGCCAAATAATATAATTTATTAGCTAAAAGTTGAGATAATTAAAATTCTGCTGCACTTGAATGTTACAGAAATGTGAAGACATTATTTCATAGTCACTGTTTATTGTCAAATCTAATACAACTTCAGAATGTGTATGGATAAGTTTGATGTGTTACCTCATAATGATTTATGTATGCTATAAAAATTGAAGTAGAATTTCTTCACACCTCTGTGCTTAACAGTATTGTTTGATGCAAAATAATTATGTTCTCTTTGTTATATGGATTGAAATAGTTTAAAGAGAACATAATTACACATTGTAATTTTTCTTGTGTTTATCTTTGTTATATGGATTGAAATAGTTTAAAGATAAACACAAGAAAAATTACAATGTGTAATTTCTTGACAAACAAAATATTTGTATTAAGTTTACCATTTCCATTGATTATTACACACTTTCTATATGATAATCAATGTAGAAAATAGTTCAATTAAAACAAGAATCTTTGATTTAATGCTTGACTGGATTGTCCAATGATTGATGGCCATACACAGATTTACTATTAGGTATTTTTTTTGTAAGCATGTATTTGGCAATATGTGCATGCAACTATCTTTGTCCGTCTGAATAATTATGATAATTTGACGTGTTGGTTTTTAGCACAATTTTAACTTCTTGCATACTATTGGCTACCGTGTGAACTGTGGTTGTACCATTACAAATTGCAACATTCTAACTTATTGCAACATTCAGAGTTGAGTTTGAATCACCTTTGCATATTTCTTATATTATTTCTCAACACTAAAATATGTTAAGTAATTCTTAATTAATTAGAAACAAATTGTACATACAATTATCAAACATTTTATTTTTAGCTGCTTGTAAAGTTTTGTACTAGATGTAAAATACAAACTATTTATCCAAACTTGTGACTGTTGCTAATATGTATATTATTTTTTCTTTTCCCGTGTCGTTGCGTGTTCCCGATGTCCCCGTGATCGTGTCTGCACTTTCTTTCTCCAGAATGTGGCTCCTCGATGGGTTAATATTTCTTTATACTTTACTAGATATAAGTTTTTACATAATTGAATTGTTGCATGTTTAGTATAAGTGATAACATAATGCAAAATTCGGACATTTTTTTTGTATCAAATATTGGATTCGTGCTGAATCCTACTTTGCCAATTTTTAAGCACTGATTAAGATTTCCTAAGCAATCAGTGTATTTTAGCATCCCACTTTGGCATAAAGGTATTAATTAAAAGCAAATTAATGCTAAATTATGATATTAAAAAATACATTTAAAATCTAAGTTAGATTAACCTTGTTTGTTTGATTTAAAAGCTTCTTAAACATGAAAAAAGATTATGAAATTTGTTTGAGAGCTGTTATAAATTATGCAGCAATGTAAATATATCTGATTGATAGTTGTCTTTAGAGAGATTTTTAGTCTTTGATTATTGATTTGAAAAAAGTACAATTGGACTTAAGACTCCAGTTCATGAGCACTTGAACACTCAATATATTCAAATAATCTCTCTCCCTGATTTACCAAACAAAATATTGAATATGATAAGCAATGACTGAAGTATTTGTATGCTATAATTAGGAGAAGCTCTTAAGTTCCTTGCCTTTGTTAAAACTACAGTACTAGGCTGCAAACAGTAATGGTAAAAAAGAAAAACAAGTAAAAATAAAGTATCTAATAATTTATGTATTGGCAAATAAATTGGAAACTCTTGAAGTTATTTCCACTGGTGCTTGTTCTCTAGCATAACAGCTTTGTTGTACATGTCATGCAATGCTTTGTGTTAGATGCACATTTGGTATATTGAACACTTCTGTATACTTTATATTTTGGCTGACAACAAATTTCCACATTCTTAGTTTGAAACCAGTCTCAAAATTCTTATAAACTACCGGCGACATTTCGAATTGAGGACAGGAAAAGTTTGTTCTCAATGGCTATGCTTAATTATATAATAGGGAAAATTTATTTTTGAATAGTCAAATTTTGTTTTTGGCTATTCAATGCAATGTCAGAATTTGTGCATTTTGTAATAATTCAGACATTAGTTAATAATATACTTATTGAAAAGTGAAGCTAAATCATTTAAATTTTCAGATGAATTAAATAATAATTACAACTACATTTTTTAATATAACTAGATCTTCTATGATGGAAGGAACAGGAACATTGGAAGCTCAGCTGGAAGCCACTAAGGTTAGTGTTATTTTGTTGTCACAAAATATCACACATAAAGGAAGCTCAGAACAAATGTCAGAAACTGATCACTCGAAATCACGTCCCTTCAGAGGAGCTTTGCTCATAATGAGTGTTTGAAAAAGAATTTAGCTCTTTCATTTCTGAATACTTCTGAAAAGAAAGTTTTTAAAGTAAATTTAATACTCCTTCTAGGCGCTCATATTTATTTTATTTATTATTTAATAGCGAAAAGCCGGAGAAGTTAGAGCAAAACGTAGCGATCTGAAGAAGATTGAAGATCTGGGCGCACTCCTAGAAGAACACTTGATTTTGGACAATCGGTACACTGAGCATAGTACCGTAGGACTGGCCCAACAGTGGGATCAACTGGATCAGCTCGGCATGCGTATGCAACACAACCTCGAACAACAGATTCAGGCACGGTGAGTGGTGGGCAAGGTTCCCATGAGTGCAGAATGCTCTCGCTCGAGATAAATTTGTTCCTTCTCTCTCCTGAGCAATCCCCTTAATGGATATTGCAAACAATACATATTCCCACCAGGATATCTAGTCTTTGGTTATGCAAGTAGCATACAGTACAGTATAAACTCATTTGGCAAAACTACATCACCTTCACCACCACACTTCTATTGCTATTTGCATAACTTGAGACAATAGAATTACTAGAAAATGAACTTTGTGTATTTTCATTCTCTGTAAAAATTTAATATAATTTTCATCTTCTTTATTTTAGAAACCAAAGTGGTGTGTCGGAAGATGCCCTTAAAGAATTTAGCATGATGTTCAAGTAAGTTGTGTTTAATTAGCTATTTTTTCATAGTAATATTTATTGAAACAAGAAAAAAGTATTCCCTTCCACATTTAACATTGTAGAAATAATCCTATTTGCAATATTAGACAGAAAAACATAGTATTACTAGGGACACCACGTGACAGAATTGAAGCAGTGTTGCACTTTTGTAACTTAAAAATTTTTAATTAGTATGACTGTATGAATACATATAAATTATCTTTCACTCATCTAATTAGAGTGCCAATGTGTAAGATGCCGTCTTTAGGTGTGGGCCTGTGTCCAGGTTTTTCTCCTAACATTCGAGACCTCGAAAATATGCAAAATTGAATAGAGCACCAAGTAATAAAATTATTATAAACAGTAAACAATCAAAAGATTTGTTTGTTTAATAAATTTTATTAAACAAACAATTATGTTTAGCAGAGAAAGCTAATTGAAGAAATTTATGAACATTAACCCTCCATTACGAATTTCTTAAGGGGGCCCTCCAAGCTTTTCTTGGCCCAGGGTCTCGCACAGACAGGCAATCCTTACATTCACTCGGCATCAACTGCTCTGTTCATTTCTGGTGCCCGTTTTCCATTAGGCATGCACATAGCTTTTCTCCCCACTGTATTTCAGTAACAGAATCATGGACTCATCACAATTAATATAAAATGGCAAAGTTCAATCTAAATTGATCAGTCAAATTTTTGAAAACAAACAATTCTGTAAGCCACATAGAAAAGGCTTTGCTAATGCACCACCTCTAGTACAGGACTTAAAACATTTTGGTTTAACATTTATTGTAGAAATAATATGCAATAAAATCACTTATCTTCCTAGGCAAAAACTGAATTCTAAACTATAATCTCTTGAGGAGAATACACTTATTAAAATATCTGTGCAGTGAAATGAAAACCGGAAAATACAGGCCAGAAATACAGGGATAGTACTAGGATAGTCAACAGTACAGTACATACTATGACCAGTTATGAATGTTTTGGTCGGCACTTCTGTTTGCCCATTTTGTATCCGATGCTGCAATTGCTACAATGGACTATCAGTCCAAAGAATCCAGGGGTTCTGTAATACACTTCCTGACTGCTGAAAATATCAAACCAGTGGATATTCACTGACAGACAGTTGCAAGTGTACTCGGAGGACAAAATATTTTCTTCCAGACATGTTGACCATTTCTGAGTAGTTAACATAGACAAGAATATTGACTGAGGATGCCCTAATTGGGGATAATCTTTTTGTGACAGTGGACAAATTTACCAAAGAACTGAATGTTAATCACAGGCTTCCACAACAAGTTGCAATACAGACAAGAAAGGTATTGTCAAAAGTGGTGCCCAAATTTTTAATCAGAGGACAAACTTGAACAACTATCAAAAAGTCTGGAGCATTTGCAGCAGTGGTGGTGTGAATAAAACGACTTTCTGAACCATATTGTGATTGTGGATGACATAAAGTCTGGTATCCTCTAGGACTGAGTAACAGCACTAAGCATTTCTTGGAAATGACCACCTCACTGCGAAAACAAATGCGAAACTACCACGTCCAGGATGATCAAAGAAATATTTTTCTTTGATCATTATTGTCTAATTCTCACCCACTTCATGGAAAATAGCAAGAAAGTCTACATTTGGTATTACTCACAGAGGTCCGTTTGCAAGATTTCTAAGGTCTGTAAATTTTTCCCAGATGTCATCCAGAAAACTTGAAAAGCTCAGATGGAAAATTGCAAAGCGACCTTCATATAGTCCAGACTTGTCACCTTGTGACTTTTGCGTCCAACCACTCGACAAAGCAAGGCAGACTCAGAGTGGTGTCCCAAAAACGAAAGGACTTTACACATTTATTTTTTTGGTGGTTCTTGCTTCTTTAGAATTACCACTATCCATATTTAAGATTTTTTTAATTCAAGTATATAATTTCAAAGTAGTGTAAAATTTATATTTCTCTATTGTAAGAGATAGAATGCCAGAATATTTTGACAAATGTTAAATGGCATATTGGAGAAGATAATTCCTGGTTTTCATTTTACTGTAGTTCTCAACACTATGGCATCCCTATTCATTAAAAAGTTTTTTTTATAGTGTACAGGGATGCCTTAGTGTTGTAAATTAACACTGTAACAAGGCCCCTTACTTTCAGTTTAAAATTCAAACTAAAAACTGATCTTACTAGGTAAAATTAATTAATTTGCAATTGGGCACATTGCAGGCACTTCGACAAGGACAAGTCGGGAAGGCTCAATCACCAAGAATTCAAGAGCTGTCTGAGAGCCCTGGGATACGACCTGCCCATGGTGGAGGAGGGACAGCCTGATCCGGAGTTTGAAGCCATCCTGGACACAGTGGACCCCAACAGGGACGGCTACGTCTCCCTCCAAGAGTACATGGCCTTCATGATCTCGCGCGAGACTGAGAACGTCCGCTCGAGCGAGGAGATCGAGAACGCCTTCAGGGCCATTACCTCAGGAGACAGACCCTATGTCACGGCGGAGGAGCTATACGCGGTAAGAACCCTTTTCCTCCTCCTTTCCCCTGGCCCACGGAAATCTCACAATTCTCATTTCCCTTTGTAGAACCTGACGAAGGAGATGGCGGATTACTGCGTCTCGCGAATGAAGCCCTACGTGGACCCCAAGACGGGAAGGACCCTTTCGGGTGCCTACGATTACATCGACTTCACCCACACCCTCTTCCAGAATTAAATCTGTCGAAGATGCAGCTTTTTATCGCCGTTTTTAGTTGATTTTTGTCGTTCTTCGTGGCAGTTTCCATTATTATTAATTTTTTTTCGCGGTGGCCGGAAATTCGTTAGTGAGCGCGCTCTTGCGTGTAATTTTTGGTACTCTTATACGAGAATAAAAGTCGTTATTTTCGTCGTTCAATCTCCATTTTTAATTTATGAGCCAGCTTTAATATATAAATATCGAGTGTATACGGCCATAGTAGTATCTATATATATGAAATAATTAAATTTTTGATAAGGAGATATGTGAAATTTTTTATAGAAATTTCCTCTCTGGAATTGTTTCTTGATAAATACTATGTTTTTACTACCTTTACCTTAGTGATTATTGCACGCATTCGATTTTCAAAGGTATGTTTGATGATCGATTGCATATAATCGTCTGATTACTGGCTTGTGTTACGTACAGACCAATAAAGTAGAGAAACAATGCAGTGTGTGTCTGTTCGAAAATCGTAAACGGAGTAAAGCATGCATTGCAGGCAACTATTTGCATATTGAATAGAATTCAACTCGGAATTCTTTACTTCGGGACCGCGTGGTCGGACCGGGACAAATTTCTGCCGTTCACGCACCCATTAAAGAGACCACTTTTCACGCAAAAGGCCCAAAGGTGACGAGCGACAACGATAACTTTTTAACAACACAAAGCAATCTCCTCGTGTCATCCCTTATGGTGTCGGTGTTTAAGCAAAGAGTACCCAAAAATGATGATGATTGGGACCCGCTTGGAGATTAGGAAAAGGGGTGGGCACATACCCCAATAATATACAATTTCATGCTCGTTTTTAGAGATTGGTACCTTCGACATCAAATTGGTGCTTTGGGCCATACCCTGTTGACATTATCATTTCTTCGAAATGTGTGTTATATGCAGATTAAGGAGATATACTACACTCGAGTAAATCTTTAGCGCTGCAATGATGTAGAAAGCGTACTACTAGGGCCCCAATAATTTGGATTTAAATGTATGTTAGGCAATGGCCTAACTAGAAGTTTTTGTTATGGAATGTGGTAAAGGCCCCTTCAATGCTTAGGCCCCAGCACCGTTATTTTGGTTAAATAATTGGATTAATGGATATGTAATATATCTACATCCACCAAATTAAAATTTTGTTAACAAAAGTAATAAATGTATATCGTGTATAAGTGATACCATTAGAAAACGCGTCCTTTCTCGTCGTATTGGCTAACCACAACAAACCACGCTGCTTTCAAAACTACAGTGTTTTGAAACGTGGGGTGGGAAACCAGAAGGTTCCATTTTAACCTGTTGTGTAGTTATATCTTTTCATTAGTAGTAGAGGGAAGGTTTTGGTATGAGAAATTGGTCTTATCCTCTAGAAATTCCCGATTTCATCCGATTTAGCTTTATCCCACTGAACAAACCACAGTAAAGTCTTCAACACCAAAGGGCATTTGGGAAGGGGAAACAACATTCATTCGAATATAGAAAATTTCAGAGAGTTTGGCCCTCAGTTTCTGATAAGAACATCCCCGACAACCAAGTCATTCAGACCAAAGCATTTGTTGCATATGTATAGCAAGTCATAAAATGGCTACCCGATTTCTTAGTGTTTGGGTTCTATCAATCATCACTAAATCCATGTCATTTACGTGGCACTAAACCAGATCCATATGCAACAAATTATTGATAGATTGCACATATTGTCTGCCTCAAACAACCAGTGCTGCCATTTTGAACTGTTAATTAAGCATTATACCTGTTTTGTAGTGCCCGTGGTGGCAGGGAACCGAATCAAAACAAAAGCAATCTCAGCGGAATTTCAACCCTCCTCTTCGGTACACTATTTCAGTTCGTCTTTCAAGGAAAGGGAGTGGAAAAGAGGACAGTTTACACTAAAATGTAGGACAAAAAATTGACACATTTATCAGAAACTTTGTCTTTGCATGCCCACCTCCGTACAACTTAAATTCCTAAAATACAAGGTGCTAATTGCTGCAAACACTAGACTATTGTCATTACTGTAAAAAAATATTTACAAAAAGAAATAAATAAAATTTTATTGTTATTACTAAATATATTCCACATCAAATGCTTCCTTTAAAAAACCAGCTTTAAATATGTAAATTTTAAAAATTTCATTCCACAAGTGACAATGCATTAATGTTGAGTGCCTCGTGCGTGAAGATGCATGTATTTACGATGGAAGAATTAAATAACGCGGTAACACCATTCGTTTACACGCGCAAGACAGGGAATTTAACAGAAAACAAGTAGAAAGCGGGTGAGGAAATTGGCAAAAGAGGCACTAGAAGGCATCGTTGGTTTCGGCATCCGATATAGAATTGTCCACGCTGATCTTCTCCATCCAAATCTCATTCCTTCGATTGAATATTTTCAGAGGGGGGTCATAGAAGGCTAAGTAGTAATGGCTCGTGTCGACAATGTCCTCCTCTTTTAGCGTTATGGACAATTTGTGAGCGTTGTCGATCCAATCCATTTCGCCCGGGTAACCTCCGAATTTCCTGAAAGATTTGTGGGTTTTTTTAAAAATGCAAATTAGAATGAGGAATTTGTCTTGCAATTCCTATTTTATTCACCTGACAATGTAACGCTTGGTCGGTTCCCTCTCGCAATACAGGTCCTGATCTATGGGCAGTGGTGGATCGTCTCGTAGGGCCGAAGGAATCAGGAAGGACATGGTGAATGTCGGTCGACATGCTCCCACGCAGGGGGTGACTCGGGTCCGAACCGGTGTCGTGGTGTTTATGAACAACCCTGTACAACAGACACAACTCGACATGTAATTTGAGCAATTTAAATCGTCCAAAATCACTTAGTAAGATGGCAACAAAATGTCCACCCAATTTGAGATTTAGAGGCATTAAAGGGCATTCTTTTCTAAAAAAAGCTTGAAAACTTAATTATTGTTGTGTTTATTTTTCAGGCTACAATTTACCTTTAACGTTCCTTTCATCGAAGTAGTAGAAGAGTCTTCGATACATCCTCTTCATGGCATCCACCATGCTGGATCCTTTTATGGAAGTGCTCACCCAAACTGTGGGTGGATACTGTCGAACCTCATAATCCTAAACAAGCAATTTATAAGTATGACACCAAAGTACCATCCTGTTAATTGTAAATACCGCCATCGAAGTAATTATAACTTACCGAATTGTTGGAAAGGACCACGTAATCTATGCACTCCGCTCCTGCCCACATGCACGATTCCACATTGACACATGACTGAAAAAGAAACACACACAACATTATATATATATATATATATATAAAGTGATGCGTTATCCTACGGGCAATAATATATATTATTGCCCGTCGGATAACGCATCACTGATTTTTGGCAGTGATTTGCTAGAAAAATAAGATAATGGAGCGTGGAACGGGGTGTTTCATTTCCAAAGTAGCACGTGGAAAAACACACTAAAAACTGTTTAAAATGTATGCAAGTTACCTTCCAGAATTCTCCGTTTTGCATGCTTCTGTTTCAGACAGGTTTTTTTACTGTATACAGTTAACACTGCACTATTATAGACTTAATTAGAGGGAGTTATCTTATTTTTCAAGTACAAAACCACTAAACCATTAAAAATTCTACTAATTATATTTAATTTCTAGTTTAAGCATGAAATATTTAAAATTCGATTGTTAACTGAGATGCAGAAATATTTTATACCTGAAACCACAGGACCAAGGTAAACAGGGCGTAGTATCCTATACGATGCATAATGCAATGTGAAGGAATTCTAGAGAAAAATAATAATAAACCGTTTAATAATCATCATAAAATACTCACAAACAATAAATTTTGGGCCTTTCTATGCCAGGGCCCAACTTAAACGACCTCGATATCTGTGTATCTTGGGATGAATCGATGTATCTCATCCATTCGTTAAGATATCCAGAGGTATAAGGGGTGGCCCATAACTCAGTTAACCAACATAGACGAGAAATTCGTAACAATGGATTAACAATGGAACTCTTACTAGAAAGGTTAACAGACTTTTAGGATCACAATTTGAAATTCTCGCCTGGTTAAACCACTGTCGAGGTTTTTTTGTTACGTCACAGAGATACGCGACCCAACTTATACAAAGGGTAACATCGATATAAACGGGTCATTCCAGATCTCTGCGGGTCGTTCGGTTATGACGTAACAGATAAGATCGTGTTAAAATTATCAGGAATTTTTTCTTTTTTTTGCTGAATCTGGAAAGATTCCTTGAGTGATCCCACCAAAGACTTCTATGAACCCAACTTCAAAAATTCATTGTAAACAGAACAGAACTGTGTTTACGTTGATTAATAGCTTAATGATCTACCAAAGCATTCAAACGCCTTGCAATTAAGTAAAAGTAGCACAAGACTGTTTCGTGTAGAATCTTTTTGCGATAGATATTTGTAAACTGTAGTGTAATTTAACTTCTATAGGGTGTGAGAATACAATCACCCCTACAGAAGATACACTCCGAATTACGACGAAGTAACCTAGCCTGCTCCATTAAAACACACACAAATCAATAATAATTCTCACATTGAAACGATAATTAAATACTTTAAGATTTAATGCAGATAAGAATTAAACTTATCGTTTAATTAATTAAATTGGATATTGAACTGAACTTAAACAGTACACTAGACAAGTGTCCTGTTTCGTTTGTTTCAGTAAGAACAAGTAGAACTGCAGTAAACGAGAAGAGAGAGAGAGAGAGCACATTCCGTTTCATTTGAGAAACATAAGAGAAATTGCATTATAACTGTAAACAATAGAAAAGAGTAACGAACAGTACCATTCATTTGTTTCAGTAGAAAACAAGTAAACTGCATCTAACCTTAGAGAATATTCAACTGTTTTACTGCCTATTGAGTATTACAATATAAGTATAGAGTATTAAGCAGCAATGTCTTACCTGGCAATCACCTGGGACTCTAGCAGCTCGTGCTCGACATTGACCCTCTTTTTATAGGCGGTCTCGCGTCACAATGGTAGCTTTTCCACTTGGCACCAAAGTTCACGAAGATGACAACACGGCCTTAGCGTCCTGTCACGGAACGAGTTTAACCAGATCCATTATCAGGTGTATTTTTTGATTTCTTGGAAGTACGATGACCTCATCAAAGTCCCTCCCGACTTCCCATCACCTCAAACTCTAATT